GCCTGCAGCCTTCCGGCAATTGTTGCAGGGTGTTTGCTTTCAGACGTTTTACACCGTATACGCCAACGTCCATCTGTCCCATGGAGCATAAAATGTGATTCATCGGAAAAAGCCACCTGTTGCCACTCTGTGGACGTCTAGTTGCGGTACTGGCGTGCAAATTCCAGCCTTCGTCACCGATGAACAGCAGTCAGTATAGGTGCATTAACCAGGCGTCTGCTGCGGAGGCTCATGCGCAGCAACGTTTGCTGAACAGTTGTTGAGGATACACTCTTGGTAGCCCATTGGTTCATTTGGGCGGTCAGTTGCTCAACAGTTGCACGTCGATTCGTCTGAACGCATCTCCGTAGCCTTCGTTCGCCTCTGCCATCTTTGGCCCGTGGTGCACCACATGTGCCACGTCGCTTGTTTTGTATAGTGCCATTTTGCCATGCACGGTATACTTTTACCACGTCGGCACGCGAACAGTTCACAAAATCAGTCGTTTCCGAAATGCTTCCATCCTTGGTCCGAAAGCCAATAATCATGCCCTTTTGGACGTCGGATAAATCGCTACGTTTCTGCATTGCACCAACGACTGAAATGCTTTTCGATGCCCTAGGACATTCAATATATACACTACACTGTAATGTGCTGCCACCTTCACTTTGTGATTGGTTATTTCAGGTTTACGTCGAAAGTAGGTGGTGGTCACATTAATGTGACTGGACTGTGTATATATATACTGTAGTACTTCATTCGTAGTTCCTTTTTTTATTGCTTTCATTTTGGCACATAAACTAGTTTAATACTCGAGCCAAAGGCCTTTAATTCTCATCCGAGAGATCGAGTTTCCCATATGTCAAATATATGTATTTCTACTTCGATTTTCGGGATCGCAGTATGTAATAGTCACCTCACCTGTGGTACTTTACCGCCAATCATAGAAACTGCTCCCGCATGACGACATGGTAAGGTCTCCCAGATGGCACTGCAATGTTGGTCAGTGCTTCCGTTCTCATTTTTGCCCTCTTTTGCTCCTTCTTATGTAAATATTTTCTTCAGAGTATATAGATAGATATTCTATATTTTGAAATCGTTGTGGAAGTTAAATTTATATTTAAAAATTTATAGCCAACCTAATTATTATCGGAAACGATAGTAAAATCTGTATTTTGATTTCATTTCATTATTGTACCATATTGTAAGTTCTTTAGAGTCTCAAAATTTGTATTCATTTTCCAGGAAATGAATAATTTATTGAAGAAATCTCGCGAAGGATCCCCAAAAGCTTTGATGCTAACTCTCACAGGAAATACACTTTTTCATTTAGAAAAAATACTCAGTCAGGACGAATTCAGGTAAATATTCATACCCAAGAATTTTTAAATTGGAAAATTAATTAAGAATTATTATTTCCAGTGGTTGTATTTTGCCTTTCTCAATATTGCTTATTTAATATTAAATTTTTTATTTTGTTTTATATTTTTTGACCCATTATAAAATATAAATTATTTATATATTTTTTAATTCTAATTTAGGGACATTGATTTCTTGAGTATATTAGAAATGAATGAAACTGATTCAAACTCATCGAGGAACTCCTTTTTAGTAAGTACTAGTTAAAAATGATGTAGCAGTATGTATTCTGAATTTGTGAAACAAAGCGTCAAAAAGTAATTAATAACTTAGAATAGCTAATTATAGACCTAAAAATAACCACTCGCAGCGTGGCGAGTGAACAAAATATAGTGGCGACTTAAATTAAATAAACATCTGGTAGCTTTTTTCCATTGTTTTATTTATTTATTTTTGAAAACTGTTTAAGTATTAAAGTACATCAATGCAAAAAGACTCTAGAAACAGAATTTTCATTAAAATGTCCAATGTTTCCATCCAAAATTTGATCTTTCAGAATCCATCAAATTGTAATGCAAGGATTCGTAGTGAAAGGACAGTTCTTTAAATAATCACACATTTCAAATTGCCAAGTATGAATTAAATGTTTGTTCCTCCCTAATTAACTATTGGGGCAATATTTCCCAGATTATGACTACCTCTATTTTAGGGGTCAGGAACCCGTTAAAAAAAAGGTATGTGTATTCAGAGAAAGTAACTTTTTGGGTCTGATTACGTATTTTAAAATATCGTCTGCACTAACTAATTAGCATATTGAGTTGAGTGAGGGTAATTGATACTCTTGGAAATATGATTAAAACTTCCATCAAAACGAGTAATTTCAACTTTTATTTTAACCCTTAACAGTCTGGAATAATTTCAAGTTTGTTTCCTATGAGGCATGATTTAGTAATTAATGACATTCATTAGAAATACATAATTATTTATAATTAGGTTATTTATACGTATGATAATATATGGTGGCATTCGATCTTGTTAAGTGGAAGTATCGCTTATATATTTCGGTATTGGACCTAGTATGTTAAAGTACCTTGCCACTTATGTGAAGGCATTCGTCCTTGAAGGGTTAAATTTATACGCCGTTAAGAAGTTTGCTATCTAAAGTAATCAAGTTTTCAACTCTCGTTATATATATCTCGAAATCGTTAATTATTTTTAAACTAATGTTCGAAATTTTTAACTCTACAAACTAATTACGATATTTTTTTCCAGAATTTAAGACGACTGATGGAAGAACGAACTCTAAAAGAAAAGATTTTGATATCTCTAAGCATTCGTCGAACTTTGGCAGCTCAATACAATGGAAAGGATTTACATGTAATATTATAAATAGATTTATAAATGGAAATATTTTTTAATGTTTTATAATAATTTGTGTTTTAATTGTTCGAAAGCTTTAGAAGTATAATTATCACACATATTTAAATATTATCACATAGAAAACCAAGCAAATATTTTGTCCATTTCTACCTCCAATAAAATCACTCGTTTTAAAGTGTTTAAAAAATTTAAATGAGTCAAAAAGCTAGTTTGTTCTAAAATTTAATTTTGAAATATTTAGAGCAGTATTTTTTATCAAATTGCTTTTACTACATCACTGACAAGCGTTCTGTGGTTGCATGTTAACCCTTTTACTCGAAGTTCTTTCTACAATTAAAAAAATGGACCCCGCCGCTAACTACAATTAAAGGTTTTCTCCAAGCTTACCTTACAATATCCGAAGATCACTGAATGAAGTGGTAACAAAAAATTAAATGAAAAAAAATTCACAATTGAGAATGGTGGGTAATTTACAGGTGACAGTGGTGACAGACCTGCAAAGCAAGACCTGATTTTTACACTACAGTTAGATGGGGAAAACATGAGAATTGGATGCATGCAAGTGACGTCATAGTGAATAAATCACGGCATTCGTTTATACTACGATTCATTCAAAAGCCAGTTCGAAAGACGCGCGCTATGTCGCTTACAAGTATCCAATTAAATATGATTCAAAAGCGTGGCCAAAGACAAAGTTTAATGGGATTCCTGCAAATGGTGTAATGTGAGTACGTCGATCCTGATTGGTTGTCGAAATGTTGCATTTGTTTACGGTAGCAACTGTTCTTTCCTTTTTGTTCAAGTAAGCCAAGCCCATCAAGTATCCATTCTTTTAAGCAACTCATCTTTCACAAAGATTTCAATTCTTTCACTCTATGTGTCTTACTTAACACAAAGACAGGCATGAGGCCATATAGAACATAAACAAATTAATCAAGCATCGAAGTTGCCAGGTACAAGAAAAAAATATATCACGGTTACATTAAAATGCATAAACTAATTATAAATCTAAGTTTAGTAAAAGGCGTAGACGAGAAATAATTATATTTCAAGGAACTCGATGCACGATACGGTGCTGTATTTAATAAACCTTATGTTAATTATACATTCTAACTTATAGGAAAAAACTTAACTTTAACACGTCACTTTGCTTATAAACCATCAGATGGCGTTGGCGTCATAGGTTTCATCTCTGGGTATCCGTGGTGTTATTTTTCTTGAAGTGCAAGTACCCAAATGCTGTAACGTTCTCTCGCTAAACACAAGCACGTGATTAGGCCCAACCATTTGATTTAAATCACATGATTGAGCCTAATCACGTATTTTTCTTCTCGTGTTGTTACCCAATTGTTTAACAACTCTCATTTTTAAAATAAAATCTGTTTTTTTTCCCAGGAAATCTGCAGGCTTATGGACAATAATGGTTTCAAACAGTCCTCTAAAGAAGTGGGAAAAGGAAAGGAACTCTTCGATGCCATCAAAAATAAAGTAAAATAGTCTTTTATATGTATTTTTGAAAAAATCTGTTTCAAAAATTGCTACATCAAAGACCTTTTTTTTTGGCCTTTAAATACTTAGATTTAGATATAATATATATTTAAAAAAAAGTATTTTGTGTACAACGTTTAAAGATGAGCAACGGGTCCATATTTTTAAGCATTTAAATTTTGTTTTATGACCTAAGCCATTAAATACAGGTAAAAATACGGCTTTCTCGAAGGCCTATATTATAAACTAACCCTCTTAGCTTTACAAATCAGTACAAAATAAGCTGATTCTTCGGACTTAATTCCAGTTGAATAGCAGACTATTTTTATAGTGATACTATTTTTATGGCAGAACAGCAACTAGCTTTATTTAATTTTTTTTTAAAGTCAGTGGAACTTACGGTCCTAAGAGATTTGCATGATTTCCACCAGTCAAGAAACATATTAGTTCTGAGTCAAAGTTACCAAACACATCAATCTTGATATTCATTCGATACTGGAACTCTGATGATAAGTTACTGTAGCATTTTATTTTATTTTATAACCGTCGTTGAACAGTCGACCCAAATTTTTGGGTTTACGTCTTTTAATGTTACGACTCCGTAGCCCTGTAATTTTGAATCCAATCCAGAAGACAAGGGAACTGCTGGATCGAGTAGTGGGAGAAATTTGCCTTCGTGGAGGACTTTTTGATGGAGCTAACCCGCATTTGCGTTACGTGGAGAGGAAGACCAAATAACCTCCCACTGTTAACTTGACGGCTAGGGGACTCTAACCCATGATCCGTCTACCACTGAGGATATTTCACGTCAGCACTGTGGTCGGTTCAAGCTGGATGCGGAGTTCATATCGACTGGGATTCGAACCAGGTTCACCTCATTGGGAAGCGAACGCTCTATCCCCTGAGCCATCGCGACTCTACTATAACATTTATGCAACAATTTTGATTTTTCTCAGAAACAGTAAACAGTTATACTATTCTAGCAGGGCTTCTTTTTTTTTCTCCAGAAAAATTGTCGTCTTATATCACTACTCTCGATCATGTGAGCCAAACAGTTATGTTTATGACATTTAAGACTAAATAGCCGCAGATACTGTTGGCTGGCCTGATATTTGGATTTTATTTTTTGGTTATTAATGTTTTTACCTCTTTTTCATGCCGATGAAGGATAAATTTCGGACCAAACGGTATCAACAATGACTCTATTCACCTCATCGACATTGAAAACTACGGATTTAAATGTCGATGAGATGAATCATCGTTCTAATTTAATTAAACGTTTTGACTTATTTTTATGTTACCTCTTCCCATCTATGCATGCCGATCCTTAATGACCGTAAACTCAAACACCGTAGACTTTCCGTAGCCTTTCTTTTCCCCTATATATGACAGGTATTCAGAATTCTACCATGTCTCTTAAGAGGTTCTTTATTTGCGCCATCTTGGATTTTAGGTTACATTTTTGATTTTTGTTTTCTTGGTGTTTTTTTTTCGCAAGCTTTCGTTTTGATGACAGAATATTATTCGACAGCACAATATTTTTTTTTAAAGGTGAAAAACAGAAGGGATTGCTTTATTAGATAAAGAGAAATGATGATTCATAATTTTTAGAACTTATAGGAAACTTTCCTCAAAACCTAAAAGCAATAAAAGAATATGCGATTTGTGGTTTTGTATCAGTAGTTTAAAACAACTTACTATTCAGATTTTAGATTTTATAAGATTCATTTTTATTACAGTTTAAATTGATAAAAACCAATTTGGTTGGTTTTTATAACGTAACTTTCACAAAAACAAGGATATTTCTTAAAAATTTAAAAACAAACAAATTTATACTATTTAACTACTTTTCAAAAGCTAATGATTACAGAACTGCATTGGTATAATTTTGTCAGACAAAATCGAAAGGGAATTTAAATTACTCCACGTTTTATATATCAAGTTTTCATTAGGTGACGGTCATGTATTTAACATATGTATGGAAAGATATTGACGAATTAAGTAAATATTTACCATCAGTTCGTTTGGGGAGAAAAATAAGGAAGATTAAAAACATATTTAGAATTTTCACTCTCCGTCTCCTCTCCTATGACAGCTGAGTTCGAACGAGGGTCTCTTAAAAGATGTAGCAGTTTTAAGGGTCGTAGTTTATTGTTCCTTACTTTCATTAAATTTATTTTCTTTCATAAAATAATACTTTTTATTATTTCAGACTCAAACAGTCATCCAGGAGGGATACGCTGGGCTTGATGTTTGGTCATTGAATGATGACGATTATTTGAAATTTTGCGAGAAAAAGCGATTTCCAATTCTTCATTTAATACGAGATGTCTTCAAAAGTGAAAAACCTCCCTTCAACACATTCAAGGATTTAGATATAGCACTTTCGACCGGAGAATCTCAAATAGTTGGCGAAATTCAACTTTTGCCAGAACAAAACATAAATTCAAAGCCTCTTGAAAGATTTAAATGCGACAAAATAGGTTTCTTCCGTCACCCGGGAGACTGTACAAAATTCTATCACTGCTCTGAATACCAAGCCCCGAAGCGCAATAATAGTAAGGAATATGCAGTTTTCGTTTATAAATGCCCTAGAGGATTAGTTTATGATGAATTACAAGGATCTTGCAACTGGCCCACACACTCTGAACCTTGTCAAGGATCAGGTGAATTAACTCCCGTTGCAGCCAAGAAATTCCAATGCACGAAGCCAGGATTTCACGCGGATTCAAAAGATTGTCGGTGGTTTTACTACTGTTTGGATTTAGGTGATGGAACGTTAACAGCTTTTGAGTTTTTGTGTCCATCTCATCTCTTAGGATTTGACGAGGAAAAACTTCTCTGTAATTGGAAATGGATGGTAACAGCTTGCGGAAGTTACACTCCAATGGAAGGAACTGCAAATACAAATTCTACACAAATTTCTTCTTCGAATTCTCCTAAAGATGAAGAAAATACTTTCAAACTTTCAAAAGCTCTTGGTTTTCCCCACGAAACTTCGAATGGACACCCGATTCCAACTCAGTTGACCGGCACACATGGACAAAGGAAACCTTTGATAGCCACAGAAATTTCTACTCCTTTCGAAAACAAACTAAAAAATAATGTCGCTGAAGTTCAAATTACTATTCCACATAAGAGTGGACCAGAGAAAATATCCTTCCAAAGTGACAAAAGTATTGATGCAGAAAAATTACCTTTCAGACATACGAATGAGAAGAGCTACGGAAGGGCCGTTTGGCATAGATCTATGATTAATAAAGATAGACAGACTGCTGATCATAGTTCTAAGGCATTAGATAGATTGATAGAACAAATAAAAAATTCTCGTACTACTCAAAAACCCAAGTTTGATCAAAATGGGGATCAGAGACAAGGTATTGGAAAGGTAACAAAAATTGAACCTAAGCTACATCAACCTGAAATATACCAAAACAGACCTCAGGAAATAACTTTTAATGTAAGACAACAGTTAGCTCCTTTCGAACCAAACCAAAGCAATATTCCGAAATTTATTCCATTTGTGCCCGGAAATCTCCAGGGTAGGTCCGTTGGTACGTATAAAGAGAACGAAATAAGGAATAGAATTAATGATGCGTCTCGTCACGATACGGAGAAACTCAATGCCCAGCCATACGCCAATGTAAAATGCTCAAAATTGCTTGAAAACAATTTAGATTTTGGCTGCATTGGGGAAGTTAGTTTAGTTGTGAACATGAAAAATGGTGCGGATACTAATAAATTTATCATCAAAGATGATCAGTTGTCTCGATCAGCGTATCAAGGCACAGAACAAATTACTCAAAAAATTAAAAACAATAATGTATCAGATTCGCAAAAGATCGATTTTGCATCCAATCATTTGCTAGATAATAAAGCACAGAAAGCCAGACCCTTATACACCCAAGGAAGGTCAGTGTCTTCCGATAATAGCGGAAATATTTACCCAAGAGCCTTAAGCCTAACACAAGAGGCTGATGCCAAAAATAATGTTAATATTACAAACGATTCCAGCAATAGCGCAATAGACCAAAACAGGGAAGCTGTACTTGAGGATGGAGATGTCTTACGTATAAATTTATCAACACCATCAACGGAGAAGATAGAAAGTACAACTAGACTTAGAAATCACATAGAGAGAGAAACAGACGATGACAACAACAAAAAATCGAAAGAAACAGTCATGTCCATAAATTTTTATTCTCAAGGCGTTCTCTTGAATGTCTTTTTAAGTCATATGAATGAAATACCACCTCAAACTCTCATTGAAGTTGATAATATGCTGAAGAAGTTTATGAAAGATGGGCATATAAACATAAAACTCCTGGAGGATAAGTTAAATGCTTCAACTGAAGGCATGCCAAGGGAAATGAATGTGTCAAAAATGTCAAGTGTTGCAGATATGATTGACATGTTAGAGAAAATGATCAACTCAACGAATAAAGTTGACGGAATAAGCCTATCTGAAAGAGATAACGAAACAGTGACTAACGTGACTCAAACATCAGAAACTCGTGTAAACGGGAACGCAACAGAGATAATTACGAAAGTCAACGAAGGATTTGAAACTTCAACTGTAATGAACGAGTATTATATTAAAATACACGAAGTAAATTCCACTGATCGCAAAACAAATCAGAGCACTGACTTACCGAATTCTAACAATAGCCGACGATTGTCACCAATTTTGCTACAAAATAATACTCAAGAAAATAAGGGCTATGAAAATAATGTGCCATTTGTAAGAAGACGCTTAATTCGAAAGTTTAAATTACCTAGTATCAAAGAACAGTTGGATCTTCAAAACAAGCATCGAAATGCAGATACTGAAAGCAAACCAGAAAGTGACATTTCTTCTTCACATCTAAGAACCACGGAGAGAGCTCCTACAGAGATCACAAGCGTATCACCAAAACGTTCGAGATTTCCTTCTATCCGAGAACAATTGGAAAACCAGAGGCAAGAAAATTTAGCTTCGAAAATCTTAAAACAATCAGATTTAAACTACGACCTTAAAAAGAACTTTTATGGCGGAGAAATACAATCCCATGTAAACAAAGATATCAAATATGATGATGATCAATATCAATTTGGCGAAAGAATTAAAGTCATAAATTACGAAGGAAATGATCATTTATATCCACAAGATCCATCGAGAGTTTCTGCACCGGTAAATTCTTTTAACTCACAAATTAGTCCAAATATAAATGTAAACAGAAGAGAGGAGCACGAACAGCCCTTTCACAATTTATTTAATAATCGAACAACTCAGCAACAATCATATTCCAAAGAACTTCCACATAACGAAATTAATTTTTATGGAATAAATAACAGCGAAGAACGAAGACTTCTCTTAGATCATTCTCAGTTTTATTACAAACTTCCAATTCAGCCTATTCCATATAGGTCAGAAAATCCAATTTGGCGTTCTGAAATTCCTAACAAGGAATTTTCTGATAAAAGGGATCCTTCACTAGAAATCGTCTTTAATAGGAATCAAAATACAGCACATGAACATGATAATAATAAGCAGCTCAACTCCGATGGCTTCAGTTTAAGACATAATTCTGATGATGACTACAGAAGACAAACTTCTGATAGCAACTACAGAAAACAAACTTCTGATGACAACTACCGAAGGCAAACTTCTGATGACAACTACAGAAGGCAAACTTCTGACGACAACTACAGAAGGCAAACTTCTGATGACAACTACCGAAGGCAAACTTCTGATGACAACTACAGAAGGCAAACTTCTGATGACAACTACAGAAGGCAAACTTCTGATGACAACTACAGAAGGCAAACTTCTGATGACAACTACGGAATATCAAATCTTGATGAAAATGGTGATGGTTATAGGAGACAAACCTCCGAAGACAACTATGGGAGACAAATTGTTGGAGATAACCGTGCAAAACAAACTTCTGATGATAACTATAATATTAACAATTATGGCGACATCAAAGAATCGTTTGCTGTGGATGATACAAGAAGACGTATTTTTGATGAAACTGTAAGAGCACAAGCTTTCGACCACTCTCACCAAGAACAAACTTCTTATAACCCCCAGAGAAACCACCATTTTAAGGAAATACAACGACAACAATCATCCAATGATGCCATAAATAACCAAGCGCATAATGATTTCACCAGAACATATCTCAATAATTATCACAGTAGAAGGCCAACTGTTGATTTCAGAAATGGTTATATTACAGATACTTTCGAAAGGCAAATACCAAAAGATAACTCCCGAAGAATAACTAATACAGGCATTCCTGAAAGTACACAGAGTAATTACGATTTTCCTTGGGGTGAAACACCTGATGCGTTTAACAATCAGCACTCGCTTCAAAATTCAGATGTAATACACCATACAGATAATATTCATCACACACAATCATTTAATAACTATCCAAGGCACACGCACCCAATTGTTCAAGAGAAACGTAAAAAACGTAGAAAGTTGAGGATATTAGTGAAAAAGCGTCGAAACAATGATACTGATAACGAGCGAGGACGTCAACCAATCGATGGTCAAATGAAAATACCCAAGCATTTATTAACCGAATTGAAATCGACGCTTATGAAGAAGCTAGAATCTGAAGGTAAAACTGACGTCGAATTGCAGATCAGATTCCAGGACAACGTATGGAACATTCCGTTCGTAAATGACCAAAGGGATCAGTCGATGTCCCCCGTGATTTGTACTCGAGCAGGTCTTTTCCAACATCCGAAAGATTGCAATATGTTTTACGAGTGTTTTTGGGATAAGTGGTTGAATAAATTTACACTGCATGTTTTTTCTTGCCCCGTTAAACTTGTGTATGACAACAGTATTCGAGGTTGCAGCCGACCTAGTTTTGAATCTAGTTGCAGCAATTCAATTTTGTGATTGTGAAAAAGTTAAAAACTGACGTCAAATACTGTGCCAAACGTGAATCATAAAAAGAACAGTTGCTCAAGTAGAACTATAGCGTTCTCATTTCCTATGAACTTTGAAAAGGTGTGGAAGCTTTACAAACAGCAACTTTGTTAGGGACTGGTTAAAATGCTTATAGGGACTTATTTAGGGAAAACCATACAGTCCTATCCGATAGGAGTATTAACATAATCATTTAGTTTTTATTTTAAAACACTTTTATCATGCAGATTGTTTAAAAGTAACGGTCTTTTAATTATTCAAATTTTTTACAGTCATAACTTAAACAGTCATACTAATTTTAAGGCCTATTACTATCATATTTTTATCCGTATCGAGAACGAGGATTTTCCCCTTGCCTGTTTCAAATTGTACCTCCAGAATTTACAAATATTTTCCATTGTATGAAAGGATAATCGATTCAATGGAACTTTAAAAAAAAACTGTTTATGCCAGTTTGAAAGACATGCTTTTAAGAAAAATGCGTAATGTATACGTAAGATACTCCTGCAAATTTGTTTATAACATGTTTAGCTGATTTATAGACGGCTGAAAAAAATGTGTCACATGAGATTTTGAGAAAGACTTTGAAATTAAATCACACAAAAAAAAAATCTTTCACTACAAACGTTTTTTCAAAACATCCTAATAATATTAAATTAATTAATGGAAATGTAATTTTAAGGAGTAGGGACGTTCTCAGCTAATGTATTCTTTATTTGAAAGAGACACTAGTTTAATTTCCAATTTACTGAAACCTTAGTTCGTGAATTATACCAAACAAGACTATAAAATAATCGTATAAGCACGACTTTTGTAAATATAACATTTTGTGGAAATTAATATCCAATAAAACTTTTTGAATAAAACATGGGTTTGTAGTCTCATTTTATGATTTGTGTATTAAAAATTGTCTGTGTGGAGTTATCCTCTGTTAATTAAAAACAGTTTAAAGTATTTATAGAATATCATTGAAACTAAAAATAAGTGAAATCAACATCACAATAACAATTTTTACTCTAATTTTATGCAATTGACATCTTGTAGCTCGAAACATTTTTTAAAAGGAAATTTATAAATAATTAAAAACACTCATGAATTCAACTGCTAATAAAATGATCAACGAAATTTTTAGATCAGTATATTTTTCATTTATTTTATTGTAAAACGTACATTGGCATGTTTGTGTGCTCCTTACAAAGATGGCTTATAAACCCATGTCGAGTTGGAAGAACAGATAGTACAAATAAAAGAAGGAAATCAAAAAAATATAAAAGGGTTGCGTCGAGATTCGAATTCAGTATCTCCAAGCTATGGATGGTTGACTGAATGTAAACAATAACAAATTTCCTGAAACCGGAAGAAATTTAGAAAACTTGCGGTGTATCCCTCCGCTTATTCTGCTTACGAGGCGATGTGTGAACAAGCTTGATATTTTAGGAAGCTCGTCATTGTTATTTTTTAATCAAATTTTCGCGAACTTTTATTATTCATAAGAGTTTTCTATAATTTATAAATTCTAACAGGTCGTGAGGCAAAAATAAACTTAAGAAAATTAATAACATAGCGTGTGTAAAGCGTTTTATGTCCATTTTTCACATAAGTGATAATTGGGTATACTATAGCCTACGTCACAGATCGTGTTATTCCTACTAAATTTAACCAGTAAACAGCATTTTCTGCGAACCTGATTTCTAGCAACAAGTAAAAGCATCAAACGAAGTGTCTTGTTATAAGTCGCTACTCGCCAGGTTGGAATTGTATTAGTCTAGTTCCTTTGGAAATAATTTATATTGTTGTTTTACCGAAGTTTATGAATTTAGTAAGCATATTTAAAACTCAGTTTATTAATTAAACTAAAAGGTAAATGTTATTCCTAGTAAGTGGAAGTTAGTTGTGCTTTTTTTCATATTATACCCAATTAACGTCGCAGGTTACGAAGTTTAACTTCTTCCGCGCGGAGGGACTCCACGCACTATTTTTTTTTAATTAAATTTTCGCGAAATTTTATCATTCATAAGAGTTTTCTCTAATTTATAAATTCTAACAAGTCGTGAAGCAAAAATAAAATTAATATCACAACGTGTGTAAAGTGTAAGATATGCCACGTATTGAGTGAATGCAATCATTTTCTGTTCTTGAGAGAGAAAAAAGCTATCAAAACTATATAAATACTTCGTTACGCTTTCATCACATTTGAAGATCAAAAAGAAAGAACATTTTATGTCAATTTTTCACATAAGTGACAATTGTATCGTCATCTGTTACATTTTGAGTAATACTAAATTTTGGAAAATCAGTAACGTTGGAAAATCGGTTCTGCCCTGAAATTAATACACAGTGAAGATAGATTGTGATGTGTAAAGAAAGTTACTGCCTTCAGGCGAATCGTTTTGTTTTTTTTTCCTTCTTTTTTTTCTCTCATCTCAAAATCAGCTTTCATGGACAGGGTTCTTTCTCCTTCATTTCAGTCAAATGACACATGATTGAAGATTGAAATTAATAAATCTATTTTTTCCTGCTGGTTTTGCTATCACAATAAATTTTTGAAAACTTTCAATGCGTTCACAATTTAATCTTCAAGAGCATTAATATATGCAAACATAAATAAAAACATGTCTTATTTAATAAGTAGTTTTGACCATTTCTTTTTTAAATATTTAATTTTTGGTAATACAGATAATATCTATAAAGAATACCTTTCTATTGGGGGGAATATGAGTCGTCCAAATTATGGATAACCGTATAAAGCAAGGCATAGGTGGCGCAAGCGATTAAAATTCGTCGCAAGACTTCTGTGTTACTATTTCCAATTTATTTTTACTCCTGGGCCTTAAAAAGCGCCTCTCTAATATTATTATACTTGTGGTGTTTCGCAACGCTAAGCGTTCTTTCAATTGAACTTTCAATGAAACAAGCGCAGCAAACGAATTCGGAAAACTCCGCAAGCATCCCATGATGATACCCAAAAACTAATAACATTTTATACAAATATGATAAATATAACAAGCCAAGCAAAATATAACACTTAAAACATGGTCAAACTTACTCTTTATTTATATTTGATATTAATTTTTTCAACTCTATTTATGGCCCAGGACCTTTTTAAATTTATAAATTACAGAAAACTCTTGTGAATGCTAAAATTACGCGTAAATTTGAACATTAATCATGATAATAAAACTTCCAAGAATATCGATACTGTTTGCACATTGCCTCGTAAACATGATATAAGCAGAGATAGACCGGAAGCGGTCTATATTTCTTCTTATTTTATTGTTACAATAACAAGACTCCAAAAACCAGAAGAAATATAGACAGCTTCCTGTCTATCTCTCTGCTTATATCATGTTTACGAGGCAATGTGACCATGTTTACGAGGCAACGTTACATTCAGTCACCCATTCATAGGAATGGTGCAAGATGCAAACGACAATTGATTGATTTATTCCACTTAAGTGCTATATTCTTCTCTTAGCCCTCGTTCGGACATCGTTATGAACATGACGATTTAAAACGGTGTGGATCTTAGACTAAGCATACAAACAAAGAAAACTGATAGAAAAAATAATAGAGGCAACGTTGGGATATATCGATGGAAGACGCAATGTGTTTCACTCAAATGAAACCACTTTGATTTTTCGCCATAGCAGGACGCAATTAAAACCAGTGAGGAACAAACATATATATCTAACACATATTTGCAAGAAGTATCTTATTTCCTTCGCTACTTGGAAGAGAAAAAACATCGAATAAGTAAAAAAAGAGGGGGAAAAGTGACCTATCGAAATAAAGCAACTTCTGATTTAGCTAATTATGTCCTTCTTGTTTTTATATTACTTGAAATATATGATGTTGTGTACTATTTACTGAGCATTGGGAGACGCTAGCATCAATATTATTACAGATTTCCATGATGGCAGCTTTCATTTCTGCCACCAACTGGAACTGCTACTTCTTAGTGTATACAGTCTTACTGAAAATAGCCTCCACGTTTTTATAGGGTTATAAACTAAACCAAATTCAGTGGCGCGAGGGCTCATAGAGGGTCAAGGCCTACTGTGCCTATCTCAGTTTTCTTGTATAAAATGTCTTCGTCCTATAAAGAAATGTGCTCTTGTCTCAAACAACCTGTTTTACTCTTCTAGTGTGTCGTCGTCCAATATGGTTCATAAAATTCAAAGTTCCACTTCGCAACAGCTTGCAATTAGAAGAAAGTAAGTCCCGCAGTGGACTGATCATTAAGACACGGTTCCCAGAAGATCACCGAAGTCAAGCATCACTGACTACGGTCAGTGTGCGGGTGGGTGACCACTTGGATCAGTCTGCGTAGGGACCGAGGGTGTGCGGTATTGGTCCTCGTTAAACTGTGCTACCGTAAAGTGCTCGACTTCGCGCGCAGGTCGTCGGGCTACCGAAGCGGGGGTGCCATCCCCTCCGCAGAGGATCAAAATTGTGAGGATTCGTGAGAAGCTCATCATCAGGGATGTTTCCCAGACCGTCGCCAATAGCCCATTGTGCAGCTCTAGTGCGACGTAAATTAGCAACAACAACAACAAGAAGAAAGTAAATATTGTTAATACTAACCTAGAAGAAAAAAGGTCGCAATTTTTAGCATCAGCTTTTATTCCTAATTTTGAAATTGCTTTTCTTGTGTTCTCTTTGCTTTTATTTTTTTTTTCTTTCGCGCTATACGCATCGTAAATATTTGATGCTAAATTTAACTGAAACGCATTATGATTAATTGTAGCTAAATGTATATAGTATTTATTAAATGTGTTCATTTATCAAGCTAATCATTTTGCTTCAATCCCAGATCTAATTTTTGACAACGAGAAACATTCTAAGACTTTTTTCAATAGCTGTTTCGTAATTGTTGAGTTTTATCGATTACGTCTACAATAGTTACCTATATAGCTGAAGCCACTGAAGCCATTGTGGATTATCCATAAATAAGCTCCTGGAAAACGGCTAGTATACGTCGATATTTAATCCACAACGTCTAATGGATCATGCGGACGAACATTTTCATTTACTTGGCTCTTTAAATTTAGGGGGGGAAATAATAAGCAAGTTATATTAAACTTAAAACTCTTTAAATTTGAAATGTAATTTTAAATCTCTGGTCTAGGAGAGATTTGATGTGCTATTCTCTAAAACAAACTAAATTTTTTGACTTGATATAAAATCTATAATTTTATGGGTTGGTTTAAAATTATTTTTTGTTCCTTACTCTAAAAAAGAAAATCCACTTATTGCATAAAAAATATTTAGCCTTCTTATATAAGTTTCGGAATTTAAACGACATGGAATGAAACAGTAGCAGCATACCCTAGCAGATGGACCCAGCAAACCGCATCTGCTTTAGAATTCACCGTCGAGAGAAAAGAGAAAAGGGCCATTCTTACTGCAAATGAGATACGCTCACTTCCGGTCACTGCGGAGAAAAATGGAGAACCTGATTAGTGAGTTTCTGTTATAAAAATACTATTCACCAATCAGGTTCTTCAATCTGAGGTGATTGAAAATGCAAGAAAACCGCATTCATTGAGATTGGCCCTGAGCTTGATTCGCTGAGGAGCATTCACACTGGATGCAAAAAGAAATCGTGCATGCAAACTCGGAGGTGCATCTCGGTCACACTTTTGAATTCGCATGAAGAAATTTTTCGCATCCAATGCTCCTAAATTTTTCAAAAGAGAAAGTAAAAACAATAGTCTCATCCTCGGCAGTGACTGCTTGAATTGCATACAGCAAAAACTGTTCCTCAAAGACTTTTTTCCACTCGGCCAATTCAGTAAAAAGCTTTCTTTTCCTTATTTTTTTGACCGATTATAACTGTGGCAACTTAAGAAGTCGACTTCTCTCCCCCCAACTACAGAGACAGACGGAATTTTGTGTATTTATTTATTTTGCATGTGTATGTGCGAGATAAATTCTCGAAATTAGAAAGGTTTTTCTAAGAAATCAAAAGTACCTACATGAAAGTATTTAACTTGCTGTCATCTTTCTTAAACTGATTAGAACACGATATTGTTTTTTGAACTCCTGAAATGGCAGAGTTGCTTCGAAGGAGAAGACAAAAGTCGGATGATGATTCAGAAAAATCATTTTCTGAATCTGATCTTGAAGTTGAAGATTTAAACGATAGTGCTATTAGTTCAAAAGATACTCCCGAAAAGGTGCGATTGAGAATAACAATATTTAAGTCATTCCTTAATTGTGTTAAGTTTTTTTCTTCCTAAAATCATGAAGATATGCCCGATTTAGAAAAATACCCATCCTTGCATTTCAGAATCTATAAATATGTGGTTAAATGTACATATTGTTAGTATTTAAGTTACCTATTGTCTTTCTAATTGGTAAACATTGATGAGTTGACATTTTTTAATTAATTAAATGCTTGTATTGTATCTGCAGTCATGATTAGAGATGGTTAAATAAAAAATTCTGGTAATTGGCAATATAACCGGACAGTTTAGTGCAGTATAGTATTCATGTATATGCATTCATTTATAATGAACACGCATTTCCTTCTTATTTCAGTTTATAGAAAATATTTGACATTTATATTCGTCTTTTTCTCAATATCATATATTATTAAGCATTTTTACCTTGTTTATTAATTATTTTGAAGAATGAGTTCATGTAGAAAAACAACATTTTAATGTTAACTGAAGTTTTATGTTGAGAAGGTTTGTTTTTTAACCCATTTGTCTTACCAAATTTTCTATAACTTGTGAACATCTAATCAAATGTCTAGAAACTTCTATTCTGTCATTGCTAAGATGGAAAATCAGTTCAAAAAATCAGTTTTTATTTGTAGACACAGAAAGAAATGACATTGTATGCTTCCCATTAAACGTACAATGTTACAATAAAAAATGTATAAAATTAGCTATTGCAATGTTTGTGAACATTTTGTGCAATTCTTAAATTGTGCTGAGCTGGATTGCGAAAACAAAGGGAAAATAATTCATTCAAATCACAAACCATTGAAAGAAAATGAATGGTATCCCCAAAAAATGAGAACACTCAAACTGAAGGAATAAATAATTTAATGAAATAGTTTTAAACAATACTATATAGTAGTGAAAAAATATCTTAACTATATGACTCTCTTAAAAATACGATTTCTGAGGAACTGTTCCATCTATTTCGCACAAACTTCGTATTTTGCCATGTAAGATCACATACTTTAAAATGATGTTAAAAAATTTATACCTTAAAATTCAATATTTTTTCCACTATTATTAAATAGAATAATAATAAATGGAGATATTTCCATATTGTGATCTGTTGCGCCAAACACAATCACCAAGATGCCAAGTAGATTCTAAATTTGCTAAATTTTTTTTAAAAAGAAACATGTAGATGTTTGTCCAGGGGTGGTTATGAGTTATACCTTTTGACTTTGTCCCTTTCTGTGCTGTTTTTTTTTTAAAGTTTCTCATGGACCACTGCCTGGAAGTTTCCAAGACTTGGCAATTATTTTGCCACAGATCATGATACGGAAATCTCCCCTCGAGATATAGTGAAATATGCAAAAAGTAACATTAACGTCATGGGGTCCAAACTTTGAAACACTCTCTTGACCTGACCATATTTCAAAGATTGCGCCTACCCCCTATATTATGGGGCTTAAAAATTCAAATCCTGTGAACAAAGGGTATGTTTATCTGGAGAAAGTATGTTTTTTTTCCCTCTGATTTCATAACTAAAAATATCGTCTGCAATAATTAACTAACATATTTAGGTTATCCCCTTGAACCAATAAGATTTAGTCCTAAAACTCAAGATCAATTTATTAGATCAAAAGTTTTTCATGTAGCATATTTTGGTTACCCACTTGATCCACTAAGATTTAGTCCTGAAATGCAAAGATCTGATCATTAGATCAAAAGTTATTTATAGTAGTCCTTTTTTTGAAGCAATGTGCATAATATATGATATCTATTTCAAGAATTTTAATTTTTTTTAATGATATTTTAATATCTTAATTATCTATTTTTGATGCCTTCCATTATTTGTAGGCTGTCCCACTTAAAACTGCTGATGGCTCTGAGTATGAAAGTGCAGAGGAAGAAGAAAAAATTCTTGAAAAACCTGTGAGTGCTCTTTATATCATTCATTTTCTTTAAATTGTGTACGGGTTCCCAATTTTTCTTTTTACTGTGGAACCCTAAATCTTTTGGTAGAAGCCCTATTTTATAGATATAGAAAGCAAAGAAAGTCTAATAATTACTTTAAAAGTATTTAATATAAAGAATGAAATTTTTTTGCCGTTTTATCAATAAGTGTCTAAAAATTAGGTATATGTCTCACAATCAAATTCGGTGAGTTGGAACGGCAACTAGTTTTGTATTGATTTTTTCCTTGCTGTTATACATAAGCTGAAAATTACTGAAACAAGCTGCAAAACGATTTTCATTAAAATGAAACTGAAAAAGAAGTGTTATAAAAATTGATAATAATTAAAAGACAAACATATTTTAATGTTGAATTTAGTTATATTATTTTGATTGAAAACTTTTCTGGCAATACAGTTTTTTATAATGTGAATGCTTTTAATAATTTATTCAATGTTTTCAAAAAGTTTGCAATAAATATTTTAAATGTTGTTTTTTTCCTCCATTATTTTTCTTAAATAATTTTTTTAGAGTAACCCAAAATATTAAATAAATAATGAATTATTGATTAGATATAAAAATGTTTTTACAAATTTAAAAAATAACAACTGGCCTATAAAAATTCCTAATTTTCAGATCACCCTTGACCCTTTGACAGAACCCTGTGCTGAACCCTCAGAACACCTTTCAGGAACAAGTGATGTATGGAACAGTTTATAAATCTAAAGAAAAAAATAATATTTGTCTAATACAGTCAAACCTTCAAGTGAACCTTCAAGGGACCGAAATTTCTGTTCACTATAACTGGAAGTTCACTATATCCGTTACGCAGGCAATTTAACTAATGGTTCCCAAACTCCTCCCTTTTATTACACATTATTCAAATAAATGACTGAAAAATATTATGTAGTAGCAAAAAATGTGTTACTTTTCATTACTCTTTGTCTTGCGAACAAACAAAAAATTTTTTTGATCTTTAGCTGATGAGCAATCCTCAACATCAGATATGGAAGAACTTCCCGACTCACAGATAATTTTTCCTGAATTTCTGTTATTCCGCTTTTTAAACCTATCTAAACTGCCATTCGAGCACATAAAAGTAGTCTCATAAAATCGCTTAGCAAATTCATCGACATTTGTCCAGATACTTCGTTTGGTGAACAACTTCAGTAATGCTTCTTCAGCATCCTTGTGATCTGCTTTTCTCCACTTTTTTCTGTCATCTAAATTTTTTTCATGAGCAGAAATTATTAATTGCCTATTTTTCCATATGTTACAAACTGCAGATTTGGATAGATTCCCTGCAAATATCAGCTTGATTTCATACATTTTCAATTTTTCTGACTATACCCATTTTATCATCAATGGAGAACATTTTACGTTTACTGCTCGCCATAGTTAAATTTGAGACACTTGTTTGCAGGATTTTTTAAACTGAACTGAGAACAAAAAGGATTTGAAATGAGGGCCTTATCAACACATATTAGTGTCCAACCCTTTGACCAATAGTGAATAATTGCTCATTCCCTCTGACAGAAAATGCATATTGATACGACTGACACTTTACGGGGCATCGTCTGCTTGGGTTGAAAACATCTGCTTTGTTTGTTTAGGGATGGGAAAGTAAGATAAAAGAAGCAAACAAGAAAAAATGCTTATCGCTACATTCCCCTCTATAAATGGTTTTGAAAATCGGTATCTGTATTTTTTTTCGAAGTAGAAATTTCGAAATTATTACAAAAAAAATCAGTTGAAGACATTATCCGTGTATAGCAAGGCACTGAACCGAACATTTCGTTTACTATATCTGGGAGTTCACTATAAACCATGTTCACTATATTTAACTCACAGTTTGACTGTAATTAAAAAAACAATCTAACCAGCTGCTCATTATATGTATATATGTGTGTGTTTGTGTATGACCATTTACTATCACAATGAAGAAAACCAATAAGGAGGATACTTATCCTTCAAAATTTAAAAAAAAAAACTCATTTAGTCTCGTAGCACAATCTCATTTTTTAACCTCACATGTTTGCTTTTACACTTTTTGCTCTTTCTCCCTTCACATCAAAATAGTTTGAACTGTTTAATAACGGTGCAGTGCCATTTATTGGCCTTTGTTGATTTTCTCACACAGAGGTTGTTTCATTTGTCATATATATATCAGGGGTCTGTCTAGGTTTTTATGAGAGGTACCTATTTTGTGAAAATTTAGACATAATTTGTGAAAATTAAAAATTATATTAAATAATCAACACAAAAATATGGTAAATTTTTATATATTTTTCCCCATATATTCAAAAATAAATTTTGCTATTGTAAAATTTTGGGCTTAAAATTGTATCCAAATTTAAAAATCACTGTCCATTGTTTAATTTCAACTTGAATTTTTTTTATTTTAAAGCATGCATTTAACAGTACTTCCACAAAAAGTTTTTTTCATTATGAGAACACTTCCCACGAGATCATATTGAAAAAAGTTTCACGGAGAATAGAATGTTTCATTCAAAAATAAAGGTCTGTTCGAATAAATTTAGAAAAATGTTCGAATGTTTAGAATAATGTTCAAATTTCAACTTCCTGTAAAGTTTACAGAGGNGTTGATTGAATATTAGTTTTGAATTAGCTTATATTCAGGCAGGTTGTGGGGGATTTGTCTCATGTCCTGTCCTTCAATCATCATTCTAAATTCATTATTTTGCTTAAAATGTTACTTAAATCTTCATTTTTGTAGCACGAGCTTATTAGTATTTTACAAAATAAAAAGCTTTTTTCTGAATAACGACGTGTTTTATTTTCATCATAAATATATATATATATATATATATGGTGTCGTCCTGAATCAATTGCTTTTTTAACATTATTTTGTGAAGCAGTTAACCGTATAAAACTGAACGCTATGCAGATAGTCTTCCATCGTCTGACAGTTGTAATTCCTAATGATAGAAAACCCATTTGTCAGCTAGCTATAATGTGAAATCACTTTTATTCCTTAAAATAGATTGTAACATAATTTTATATGCTCATTAATTCAACTGCATCGTCAATTTTTAGTCAAAAATGTAACTAATATCAAATGTGTTTTTCATTATTAAAAAAATCACCTGTGTTTCTGAGCATTTCTGCCCAAACCGCATCGTTTTATTGTAAATGGTTTAAAAAATTATCAGGTTTTAAAAAATAAACTGACCAATGGTAGAGTACATGTGAAATGCTAATTAAACTTAACATATTTTAGAATGAAGAAACTAGTCCTAAGGAACAGGAATCTTTGTCAGAATTGGTGGATGAAGAAGGAGGAGAGGAAGGTATTGCTGAAACGGAAGATGTTGAAGGAGAATTTTTGAATGGTGATGATGCTCCTGAAAATGGATCTGAAGATGAAGAGTTTGTCGAAGAAGAGAGGCAGCAAGGTGATGGAGAGGTAAAATAAAATTATATTACCATTTATTTCGAAACAATAAATATAAAATTTGTTTGCTACATTTTTTTTTTAACTTGGAAGAAGCACATTTAAGATGTATTAAGTCTACTCTTACAGAATAAAATGAATATTTCAAACTTCTGATCGCAAATTTGTCACCTCGCCAAATGCGATAAAATCGATTTAAGAAAATATTGTGCTTTGTGAAAGCATCGAAGATTGATTTTTTCTACCAAAAATTCTCAATTCTAAAAAAAGGCAGTGTATTCTCCTCAATTCTAAAAAAAATAATAATAATAATTATTTTAGGAAGAATTTTTCTGAAAAATCTTGTATTTTTTTATTTGATAACAGTAATTCCCGTTAGATAAGTCTCATAACCAAATAACCAGTTAGAATTATAATAAATCCAGATAATGAATGAAAGAGAAATTATGTAATCCTAAGACTAACTACCGTAAAATAGAGATGACCATATTTGTTGCAGTATCACATGACTAAATTCTTTCGTAGGGTTTATGCCACAGGTGCATATTATCATTCAACTATTTTTGCAGAAAATATGTTTTCTTATATACATACGTGACAATGACATAAAGTTACTTTAGGTTAATATTTATATTATTGCTGTAGTCTAAGAAGTTATTAAAAATTAACCCCGACTTATTCCTATTTCTTTTTCACAAAGACAATAAAACATCTACAGTTTTGATCCTCTCTCTCAGTCATTGCTCATTTACTCCTTCCCAAGTGAGTCTTAATTTGAACTTTATAAAATAATATAATTTATTATAAATCTGTTTATCCATTTGAAGTTTTCTATGAAATTTTTTTTTTTAAGCTTTACCTTTGGCCAAGAATTTTGAAATTCAGCTAATCTTTTTGAAATTTGGCTAATATACTGGCTAATAATTTGAAGTCCTTTGCGGGGTAACGAGAGTAGTAGGGATGTAGTCAAGTAGTTGAGATTTGGAACAGTTTTTCAGATTCTTATGCATTTTGGAACAGAAATTATCAGTAAATCACCTGTACAAATAGACAAATCAGAATTTTTATGTTCTGGACAAGGTATGTCTAAAACTATATTGCTGTTGGTTTACTGCAAAAAACACAGTTTTGTAAGAGGTATTATATTATTTTTACATCCCCCCCCCACTTTCTCATGTTAACAAGATTTAAATATACTCACCTTGAAAATGAAACAATTTTCACAAGGCAAGTATGAAATTTTCTAAGCAGAGCAAAATGCATGTTCATTCACAACAATAAATTATTAAGCTTGTGTTCTCTATGTATTGCCACTTCCGAAAACTTTTTATCTACTAAAAAAACATGTTTGTACTTTTCAGCCATATAAATGATAGAAAGGCAAAGTGAGATAATAGTATTTCACATTAGAGATAATTATTTTTTGTTTTTATTACTTGTCAATAATGTTCTTCATACATTTAATTAACAAAAAGAAAAATTGGAGAGGAAGTCCTTTTTTGTTTTTTGTATAAATTCTATAGAACAAGCAGACTCAGTGAGTGAGACATGGTATGTAAATATCACTCCACTACAAAAAAATTGAATAAAATAGGTATTCATGCATTGTTGAATATTAAAAAACATAGTGTTAAATATGTGCATACTAATTTTAATGTTACTATTTTTTGTATTGAATTTTTCAAGCTTCTTTGACTTCTTAGAAATGAAGAACTGTTTAAAAATTAAACAACACTATTTGTTTCAAATTTAGCTAAATTGTGGGATTTAAAGCTTTTCTTCAATGATATTTTTCTAAATTGTTTCTTGCCAAATAAAAATTAAATAATGAACTTTTTTTTTTTCTTTAAGTCATAGCAAATAAGAGGTTTTGTTTATCAATTTTTATGCAGTTTCTCAATGCTAAGTGTTTAATTTCTCAATTCTGTTTATTATTTATTTTCTACATGCTTTTATTACTTAGTTTGTCAATGCTATTATTTTTTTAGATTATCAGTTTTATTGTTATGAACTCACTCTGGTATATATCTTATTATAGATCTACATTTTAAGGACCCATACTTATGTTAATTTAATAGACTAGTTATTGTTTTAAAAACATTTTAAATTAAAAATTAATCTTTGGATTGTGTAACCAATCTGATGATTAAGTTTAGTCAAAGTGAAAGTAGGTTAATAACTCATTTTATTTGGTTTTAAATAATTGACAAGATTAAATCTCTACGTAAGTCTCATGCAATTTTCAGTATACCACGTAGCTCCCTTGTTTTAACAAAAATATGTTTCATACAAGTTAAAACAAACATGAATATTTCAATAATATTTGCCTTACAAATTAAAGGGGATGTGTATGTTTATTTTTAAGGAATGTTCACCTGCGAGTGTAGCTGCTGAAAAGGAGTTAGATTTTGATGAAGATCGAAGGAATCCTCAGTATATTCCCAAAAAAGGAATGTTTTATGAACACGATGACAGGGGGAATAGTGAAGATGTGAAAGAAAAACCTGAAGAACCTCCAAGGTTAGTAGCTTCTTTTTGTGTCTTTTTATTATTTGTAAGATGTGTCAGTTACGCATCTTATATTATTACAGTTACAGCATTGGTAGTTGTCATGATTTTAATAAAAAAAAATTTTATTCTGATTTTTAGCATTTTTGTCCTGATGTTCTTGATTTTATTGTGTATGTGTTCAAATCATTCCATTTTCTCCAAATTCAATTATGGATTTTAAAATTATTGATTAAAATAATAGAAAGTTGGAGAAGAAATATTTTTTATCCAACATCTAAATAGAAAAATTTGTTACCTTAAATGTAGGGACCATCAAATGAATCATATACATAGTTGAATCTATAGCCTCATCCATAGGGTTGTTGCTCTATTTCAAATTTCAAACTTTTTGGTGATTCAAGCATTTTGTGAAAAAGAAGCTCTGTTATCTATTTTATCTTATAAAATTTTTTGTCAACTTTTGTTCTAATTTTTAGATTTTCTTTTTGTTTCAAGATTATTAGAAACCTACTTTAAAGTTATTTGATTAATATGGTCTTGAACTACACTCTATAACAAAAAAATCGATGCACCAAGAAAGATTTGTCCGATTAAAACGAAAATTGGTGGATAGGAAGACAATGTGCAGAATAGTAAATGATCAAAATTTTAGAACAATTGAATAATTTATTGCAGAGTTACAGTAACAAGTTCAATAAGGTGTTGACCCGCCTCTAGCCTGGATACAAGCTGCCACACGGTGTGGCATAGACTGATAAAGCTCCCGGATGGTCTCTTGCGGTATTTACTTCCAAATTCGATCCGATTGTCGAACGAGGTCATCAACATTCCGTGGGAGATGCAATCGCCTTCCCATCATATCCCAGACATGCTCGATGGGAGAGAGAGATCTGGTGATCTGGCAGTTCAAGGAGGAGTTTAACAAGCTTGCAGACAGTTCATAGCAACACGTGCCGTATGTGGTCTGGCATTGTCCTGCTGAAAAACCAGCCCAGGGCGCTGCAAAAGGAGCGGTAGCAAAACAGGTCTTTGGATGTCGTCAACGTACCACTGTACAGTAAGTGTTCGTCTAATGACGACCAGAGGGGTCCGGCTGTCAAAAGAAATGGCACCCCAGACCATAATGCCTTGTTGAGGGCCTGTGTGGCGTGCAATAGTGAAGGCAGGATCCCCCCTCTGCCCTGTGTGTCTCCAAACAGGTCTTCGATGATCGTCAGGACGCAGTTGGAAGCGGGATTCGTCACTAAAGACTATACGTCCCCAGTCGGCATCATTCCAGCCTGATCGAGCGTCGATTTTGAGCATGTTGGTGCGTCGATTTTTTTGTTATAAAGTATATATTAACAAGTTTCAATTAAATATTGGTATAAAGGAATATTAATTGATAATGTCAATGTATCAATACTGTAAAAATTTTCTTTACAGGTGTCCAACTGTTCTGAATTGTTCAATGCTTCATTAATAAAACTATATTGAAATCAATAAAACTTCCTGTTCTAGTAACAAAGTAATTCTGAAATTAAATATCTTATACTATTTAACTCTTTTGGGATACAACGTGCTCTTATTAAACGTAAATAGAGCAAATAACGCTTTTTTCCCATTTGCCATGTTTAAAAATTGTCTGGTTCATTTACTGTACTGTTCCAAAAAAAATAATTTCATGATTCTTTATCCTAATTTTTTTTTAATTTTGTCTTGAATTTTTTTTACCCACTCTTTATGTTTGAAGGTATAAAGAATAAGCACTTTGAAAATACTTTAAACAGCTAGATGGTTCTTAAACTACACAGATATGGATGTATTTATTTGATCTACTATCGCATTTAAATCAAATTAAATACAGTTCCCTATAAGGTAAAGAACAAGTGTTAGGAAATATTTTAATTGCCATCAAATAGGTATCAATGTTACGATCAACTCCATATTTTTCTTAGTAATTTTGTCAAATAAGATATTCAATATCGCAAAAAGACTATAATAGTTACATTAATTTAGCGTTTTTTGTATTGAAATAAATTTTGAAAATGCTCTGTATTGTAAAATTTTATTTTCATAAAATTATATTTTGACAATGAAACTGTTTCTCCTTAGGGATAGGAAAAAGAAGTTATGGCTTGATGAAGGCAAATGGGGTCATGACCGTTTTCGTGAAGAAGAGCAATTTCCTAAATCACGTAATGAATTAATAGATACCTACGGGTATGACATTAGGAATGAGGATGGTCCTCCTCGAGCTAGAAGACGGCGACGTTACGGGTTAGTAAGCTTTCTCCCTTTTTTAACAATCATTTCATTTAACTTAAGTAGTATTAAAATTATGTACTTTAGTTTAAAGTCCTAAAGGTCATCAGAATGCATTACTTATTAAACATATTAAATTAATAATAATAATATTATTTATATTGAGCAATGCATCTCACCTAATCAGTAATAATAAGAAGCAAAAATCATGCACAATATTTAATATAGGGTGGTTATTTTCTTCGGAAATGGAAAGCCTGCAATTTTTAGAGAGTTTAAAAATTCTCCTGGAAAACCTGGAAGAGAAATTTTAAATAAACTCTGGAAATTCTTTGATAGAGTACTAGCAATATGATGATCACACTCAATTTAGCTTAGAGTGCAAAAACCTATTTGCAAGTTAAACTTATCCAAAGTTTATGCACTTTGATAAATAATTTTTAATTAATAATTTTATTTTGAATTTCTACTAAACAAGCTATTTACATTCTTTTTAATACTTTTCCACATTCCTTTAAATTTATTTTTTGAAAAATATTCAAAATTGTATACATTTTCAAAAATGAATTCATTTAAAATTAATAGTAAAATCTTTTGTTTAGTGTCTTGAATACAACATGATAATTTTAGTTCAAAATAATTTACAATTAACATTTTAATCTGTGAATCAACCATATATTTATTACTCTAGAAATCTCAGTGAGTAAGATTTTATGTAGAGAATAGCCAACTTGCTTTATTATTACAAAAACAGGTTTTTTGAAGACTACCTTTTTCTTAAAAAAATAGCCAAAGGCTCAAAATTTAAAAAAAAGAAAATTTAGAACCTATATGCTTGAAATATATTGGAAAAGATCTATGATTGAAAGAATAAAGATGCTAACTGACTGTTTTTTAATTAAAAAAAAATTTTCTGTATTTATCAAAGACGTGAATGAGAATTTTCTTTTAGAAATAATTTTGCATTTAATTGTAAATAAAACTGTAAATTATGTTGGTTTTTTTTTCTAAATTAAAAATTACTTTGGAAGTTATATTTTTACTTTTAATTATTCTAAAAAAATATTTTACCACCTTTAAGTACTGAAATTGAGGAAATCTATTTATTTATGCAGGGGTGATTATGCTCCGAATTTCCGGATCTTTCGCAAACAGCGATCCGAAGTTTCCAGAAATCCAAAGTCCAGTTGTTTCACGAAATCATCTATCACATTTATGTATAAAAATTCTTGTATATTTTATTTAAAAATATTAGAACTGGAATTTATACTTGGCATCTCTTTCATTTGTAAATATTTTTTTTTGTGGTAGAATAATAAATGTGATTAGAGATAAAAGTAAACTTACACATAATTATTCATTTAAATTATGCTGCAGATAATTCATTTAGAATATCATGTTTTGAAAATTTCAATGATTTAAATTTATAAAGATATAAATTTTTTGAGGGATTTTACTCAAGAAATTTTCAGGATTTTTGAGTTGGACCTACAATCACCCCTGTATATGTATATTTCTACTCACAAAAAAAAAAGAAATACAATTATTTATAATTCTTTTTCTTTCTTTTTTTCAGACGTGGACCCACCAAATATGACCGTAATTGGGAAGATGTAACAGCTTATGGCAGGGAAAAGTTTAAAATATCCCCTAGGGGCTCCCCGAGAGGTCAGAGAGGAGTTGGCCGCTTTAGTAGGGGTGGAAATCCTAGGTTCCGTGGTCGAGGGCAGCGTGCATTGAATTTCTCAGGGCCTAGAAATGAGGATGAGGAAGAAGGCCTGAATACAAACACGGCTGAAAATTTTGTTAATAATGAGAATGGAGGTATAAAACGTTTCTTATTTTATATCTCCCATCGCTCTTCCAAAGGGAATTTTTTTAAATATTTTTTCTCTTTTATTTAGAAGCTGAAGTAAAGGATGTAGATGTACCTCCTGTCATAAACCGGGAAGATTTTCCTGCATTGCCTACCAAAAATAATGAGCCGGAAGTGGAAGAACCTCCACTGAATAGTTTCAGCAAAAGCCCACCTAAAATTATTGAGGCTCAATCTGTTAGAACACTCACTTTTGAGAATTCTAGTTATGGTGGAAGAAATTCTATTGAAAGAAATTCTGTTGAACGAGATGTGCCTCCAAGAAGGGGCAAGACACCTCCCTTTATTAATAACCATGAACGAGGAAACAGGCGCCCAAATCCTCGTGGACATCGAGGTTCTGGAAGGGGTGATTATGGTGGAAGAGGGGACTACAATAGAAGAGGTAGATCAAACAATAATCGTCATATATCCCCACGTTTTCTTGAAAATAAGGCTAACAACAACAATCTCTGTAATGAAATGGAGCAGTTGTCACTAGAAGTTCATGAAAATCATCAAATTTGTAACGAAGAAAATATTAATCATGTTGAAAATAATGGTAAGAAAAACTTTACTTCATACGTCTTTAATGAAAAGGGTTTTTTGTGTAAAATTTGAAAACTACACAATGTGTTTTTAGTTGAAAGAAAAATGACCAAGTAATACTGATTTATATTGAGCACTTACCATGAATAACATACGTGCAATTTGTAATACTAGTGATATGGTGTCACATCCTGTATCATTTCCAGCTGTTCTGTATTTCAATATCTTTTCACAACCTTATCTGAAAAATGGAAAAATTTCATTTCTCCTCAAAATTTTCAATAGTTTTCTAAATATTAGAATTGTTCTCTAAATTTTTCTTGCTTTAAAAAATCCATTTCTGATGTTTCTTTTCATCATAGTAAAAACTTTGCTTAGAAAACCCTTAAAACTTGGAAGGCCCCCCACCCCAATTTTTTTTTTCCTTTTTGATTATATGTGACAATTTATTCTAAATGCCATATGGCCACTTATTCAAAAACTTTTTTCTGGTTGATAGAAAATTTTCTAACATGACGTTTGACTGCTTGAGTATTTATTATTGTAGGCATTTTATCATAGTTGTATAGTTTGTTTTTTTGTGGCATATTTATTCAATCCAATCCCCTGTTCTTTATTAGTATAGTAGTTATTTGTATAGTATTCTTTATTTGTATAGGACTAAGTAATGCTTATATTATATTGAGCTCTGACCTTGACTAACATATTTGTGAAATTTAATGCTAGTGGTTCATTGCTACTTCCAGCCATTCTATATTTCATATTTCTATATTTTCATTTCTTCTAAAAAATTTCTAAATATTCTAACCACTTTCCAAATTTTTCTTCATTAAAAAATCTATTTCTGATGTTTCTTTTCATCATAGTAAGGAAGAACCTTATTTTAAATCATCTCTTAAATTTGGAGTTTTTACTTAAAATTCCCAAGATTAATATTTTCCTCTCTCGCTTTTCTTTTCTTTTGAATTAAATTAGATGAATTATTCTAAATGCTCCCACTTTGCCACACGTTGAAAAACTTTTTCTGGGTGAAAGACGATTTTCTGATATGACCTTTGACTGACTAAGTACATATAACTGTAGGTATTTTACCGTAATTGTGTTGTTGTTTTTTTGTGACATGTTTATCCAATCCCATGTCCTTGATTTAGAAAGTAGAAAAAGAGGAAATTAATTCTTTTTTGTGTACATTACATTATGTTATTCAGAGCTTGGCATGTTTATCCAATCCCATGTCCTTGATTTGGAAAGTAGAAAAAGAGGAAATTAATTCTTTTTTGTGTACATTACATTATGTTATTCAGAACTTGGCTTGATTTGCTTTCATTAATGTGTATAAAAATTTATTAAAATTGAGGAAGATACTGGTATTCTTTATGAATGGCATCTATTTCAATTTGTGTCTAGTGTGTAAGTTAACACAGTGTTTTTTTTTTTATGTTTATGAAGTTGGTTTATAACCTAAAAAAGAATAAAATATACTTTATTTATATGCTTTGATATAATTTGTGTAGGTGAACTACCAAGTAATCCTAATATGTCTGAAATGGCCCTAAAAGGTGCTGGAGATTCTTCTGGGCGTCCAAAACGATACTCTTCTTTAAGGCAGCGAAGTCTTCCTGAAACTAGTACTTATCCAACCCCTCCACCCCAACAAGTACCTCCTCAGCATCCACCTTATTATGAAGCAGGTTTGTATAACAATGTCATCAATAAATAGTCAGTCTCTTGACTTAATAATTATTAATATATTTGAGTTAAGTATTTCAGAAAAAATGTCTTGTTTAATACATAGGTTTTTATTTAAAAAAATAGTTTTTTAAAAATATTTTCGAAAGGAGTTTTTTTTATTGCGTAGAATAATTATTTTGCATTAGTACATATATTTGGTCATAGTTAATTTTAACGTATTAAGTAAATTATGGATGCCAACCACTAGCTATGATGTTGTGTTTTTGCAAAATTATTTTTCCTTATTAAGTAAGCTAAGTTTCTATAGCATTATTAAAATGAAATATTCTTTATTTAATTGATATTACAAAGTTGAAATAAATTTCAGACACTAAGAAAATGAGCTTAAATATGTTTTCTCGCATGTAGATATTCTTTAAAATTAAACGGATCTATACCCAACCAAAAATATCAACGATAGAAAAAAAGAGCAAGTAAGAAATTGTTTTAGAAAATAAGTAGTTGTCATCTGTAGTATATTATTAATGCAGTTTTATGGATAGCACGTTTGCAATATTTTTTTAAGTTTTAATAGTTTATTACAAAAAAAAAAAAATCAGTTTTGATTGTCATTAGTACCTTTGAAAAGTGTACTGTATATATCAGGTAACTTCAAATTTATCATTTTCCAAAAATTTGACATAACTAGAGATAAATTATTCTGATTTTTTTTTTCTGTTTTATTTTTGTGTATTTTTTATTTATTAATTTTATGACAGTGCAGCATTTTTAAAAGCATTTCTGATAGACTGTATTAATTTCTTTTAACATTTTATGTATACTTTTTTTAAAGTTTTGTTTTAAGAATTAAGATAAGTCTTTCTATTTTTTTATCTCTCAATTTTACAACTTTATTTATTTATTTTAATATAGCTCTTAATCAGTTTAATATTTCTTATGGATATAGTTTTTTCCCCTATACCCTCTATACGAATAATGTAGCCAAATTTTTATTATTTTTCATTAAGGATTAAACTTATTTATATAAAAAAAATAATATTAATTCATGTTTTTTTTTTTTTTAAATGTTGCTGTTCGGCCAGTTTTAGTGGCCAAATCATTATTCATTACATCCCAAGTATGTATGTATCATAGATGCCAACTGCTCCAGACGCTCCATAATAATTTAAAAAACGGTGAACAACTACATGCTGAAATTTGCAAACATTTGACTAATTTTGTTTACTTTTAAAACCGTGTCACCAGACTTAATTGTAATAAAGTAGCGAATTGTATAAGCCTTTGAATTATTTAGAAATAGTGGTAGATGAAAACCTTATAAATTTAATTTATTAAACCAAGATTCACACATTAATAAACTACCACTCGAAAATATTTATGTGCTGTCCGGAGCAAGTTGGCATCTCTGATGTATATTAAATTTCTATGTTTATTTCTTATAATGTTTAATAATTGTAGATTATTTCAATTGATTTCTGTGTATCTTTGCTTTCATAGTTACTTTCTGTCAGAACTAAGTAAGATGCTTGAAATAAACAGGTTTTTTTTTAGTTTTCAAGTATAACGGAGCTTCTATTTTACTTCTGAACGACTGGATACAGGCTTCTGTTTTTCACTTCTATAGGCGTTGTTTTATTTTCAGACAAGCCTGATATTTTTTTCCTAATAAATTGAAATTCATATTGACATTGTGTGTTTCGCAGGGTATCAAACGGCTCTGTACGCCCCAACAGAAAGCTGTGTTCCAACACCCAGTACGCAAAGCCAAACAGCTACAAGTGCCCCTCTCATCACACCATCTGCATATCAAACTTTTACCCCTCCTCCTTATTCTGAAAGCTATGGTATGTCTCTTTGTCTGCTTTTTGTATGTTTGTCTTGTATTTTGTATGCTTGTTCACTGCTTATTCATTTTATCCAATATGCTAGCTGTTGTACCTAGAGGTCTCTTATACCTTTGAATCTGACCTAAGCCTATAGAGAAGGGTATCCTAATGAGACCAGTTGTATGTATATACTTGGGTCTGTCTAGGCCAAATTTACTACCATTTAGCGCTACATTCACAAATTCAACTTTGGGAAAAACGGTAGCTTCACAAAATACTTTTTCTTAAAATTTTATTTTTGTTTTCCGTAAGAAACGATAAGTCCATATTTTTGTGTTGATTTTTTAATATAATGTTCAATTTTCACAAATGATGCCTAAATTTCATAAATTATGTCTTAAGTTTTCACAAAATAGGTACCTCTCAAAAAAAAACCTAGACAGACCCCTGATATAATAAAAAATGTTTAAAAATAATATTGTTTATTTTCCCTTGTTTTTTTTCTCAGTATTCTAGCTCTTGCACCATTAAAATTCCTTTCAATCTAGTCCCTAATCTTGTATAAAATTTAATTTTCATGAAAATATTATTTATTTAAATTATATTTTTTATTTATTAATTAATTAATTTTTTTTTTGAGATTATAACTGAAATTTTTTAATGTAAAATTATGTTAATAAAAAATAAACTTGTATGTTCATATGCATTCTTATTATTTGCCCTCTGAAAAGCTGTTTCATCAGTTTAGTTAATCTTTAGTTTTTTTCTATGCCATGTAATCTTCAATTTTGTATCACCTTTGAAAAACAATACCAATCATTCAATTGATTATTTGCTCAATTACAAGACGAATAATTTAATATATAATTAATATTTTAATTTTTCTGCAAAAAAAATTCCCACTGTTATGAACATATGTTTATATTGAAGGTCATCTTTGTACTTACCAATTCATGTTTAAAACTTAATTATTTATTTGCTATTTTCTGTGATGTTGATTATTGTGCTTAATACATATTCTTTCTTTCTTTTCTTTTATATGTATCTTTACACTCGGCTTTGTTTCTTTGGTGTGCTATAGTCCTACCAGACATCAATTGTTTTAAGATCTTTGAATCGATATTTTTATTTTATTTTTTTTTTAATTCTATTTCTTATGATATTCTAATGTAAGACAAACTTTTTCATTTGGGAATTCTTTTTATTTATATACATATATACATAATTTAGCTGTGATTTATTTTATGTTATTCAAAATAATTCATAAAATTAATTGTGTGTATCATGTATACTTTCATTTTTAATCATATCAACTGTCTTACAAAATAAAGGTAATGATTATATCTGCCTTGATAAAATTATAAAGCCCTTACTATTTTTAAATGTTTTTTTTTTTTTAAAGCTTTTTCAAAAATACCCTTTCCTATGACAAAAGAAAACTTTAAGCTCAATTCAGTTTTTTGTTATATTTGTTATGTTTTTTGTTCCATAAACTTTTCGAAATGAATATCCCCCCCCCCCTGCAAAATGGTGCTTTCTTTGTTATGCTCTCAAATATGCATAGAGTATGATTAAAATTTCATTAAGATGAAACTTTACTCATTTCTAGTAAAATTTCCTTTAATTGGTAGAATATTTTTTATTTATTTAACTTAAGTCGAAAATGATAGTTATAATTAATTAAAGATGTTAATTTAAGGCCTTCGTATGTCTGTGACACCACCTCCAAGGTTATTTCCACAAGTGAGTGTACCTGCAGCTCAACCTATTCTGGCACCACCACCCTGCATAACACCCGCTCCAACTATTATGAATTTCGCTCCACCACCTCCTCCAGCAGGGTATCCGTTTACTTATCCTCAATTCACTACGCCACCACCTCAGCCACCTCCTGTAAGTCGCATTGTTTTTGTTTTAATTTATGTATTAACCTTAAAAGTGTGCTTTCCTAATCCCTTTATTTGTTTTTAATCATTGTTTCCTCCTTTTTTTATTGAATATATGCGAGTATTTCATGCTGGCTTTTTCATTTTAAATGCTCCATCTAAATTTTTAGAATTTAAATTTATGAGCTGATAATTTAGAGGCTAGTGATGGAGCAATGATCATTTGAAAAAGCCCTTATTGCACATTATTTCAGAGGTGTAAGTATTGATAAATTAATGATAATTTGAACATTTTATTAAAAATTTAGAAGGCACTTGAATCACTAAAAGTTTTATAATAAGCTATCAAATTTTAAATTATCTATCCAGGGCCTGTGCCAAGCATTAACCACCTCACCAAATTCAATAAAATTTTGTTTTGGAGGATTTTTTTTTCTACTGGAAAATTTTTTTTTTATTTAACTTGATCTTAAAAATTGTACAAAAATGAATTTTTCTAAATAAATCAGTATTTTTTTTATTCATTTACAGTAATTTTATGGCCTTATAATCAGTTAGAATTGGGCTAATATAAGCCTGAAATAAACTACTGTAAAATTCTATGGGGGAAAAATAAATCATAAAAAATTTTAAGATTTGCATTTGGCGAAGACTTTCAAAAATTGGTGAATGCTTTTAATATTTGACTAATAATTTGAAATCCTTAATCCCTGTCTATCAATTAAATAGCCATCACACAAAAAATAGAAAGATGTGATGCTTAGCCAAATTTGTCTAAACCAAATTTGTCTGTTAAATTTGGTTTAGTTCATATTCAAATGAATTCTAGTTTTTTCCTTATTTGGTATATTAAAGATTTGATTTCTTTTTCGTTTTTATATACTCATCTTAAGTGTTTCTTGCATGTTAATTGAATGATGAAATTGCATTTATCAATTTCTAATATTGCACATCAAAATCTTAATTTATAAACCTTATTCATCAGCTGGCTCTTGTCTCAATACATCCTAACTAATGTTGCACTTGTGTTGCTTACAGGCACCCCCAAGTGAAATATTTCAACCAGGCATAACTTATTATTATCAACCAACTCAACCTCAACCTATAAGGCCAACAACTGTACAACAAAAACGAGCAAAAGCCATCCCCATTGTACCTCCACCTGAAAGAGAAGTAAGTTGAGTTTAATTGAAGGTTTTGGGCCATAAAATGATAAGCCACGCTTTCAAATTGTACAGAAAAGCATTATTGCTTAAAAATACCATGATTCTCATGCTAATCGTCAAAAGTTTTTGTATATTGGACTGCAGTTTCAGTTGAAATTCTTGAAACTTGTGAAGTATTTATCTGCAAATAATATTAAAACTATTTGGTATTGAAAATTTAACCTGTAAACTGGTCATTACCTTGAAACGGAACATGCCTCCAAAACCGTATGGGCAAAATTATTGCCCCTGATCATAAGAATTATTTATTGTTGTGCTATTTATGACGCACGCACAAATATCAAGTTAAAACATATTAAGCTAAACTTGACTAATATCAATTGACAGTAAATCTCATAATTATTTATTAAGTAGTTGAAATATTTTTTTAAAGATAGCATTGCATCTGTTTTTCTGAGAAAAAGATTAAATTAATATATTTTTTTTCCTTCAATGCTCGTCCAATTGGCACTCGTCATTCAGGTATTAGTTAGACAGATTTGTTAGCCCCTCTTTCTGGGGCACCATATTGTTACTTCCACTGTAAAGACATAGTACAGAAAATGAAAGAACATCCATGCCTTGTCCTGGATTCGAACGCGGGACCATATTTACGAATTATTATTTATTTTTTTTCACTTAATTTTAATTATTTCCAATCTTTAATCATAATGAGATAATAAACCCAAATGGTTTTAGGATGTTATAGGTGACAATTAATAACTCTTGATGAGTACCATAGCATGAGTTATGCAGTTGTAAAGTTCGATATTTTTTTTTCTCAAGTTTGTCTACCATTTTAATTTTTTGTACCACTAAATTTCTATGACTGATGTGAACCCCCATTCTTGATATCTGATATTTTTTTCTTCTTTTTCTCAGACAAATAGGAAAGAAAAAATTGACCCTACTCTGCCTAACAACAGTAGCCACAAATATACAGATGATGCTAATGAAGCTGATAGTGTTGATATTACTTCTGTTAGAACTGAGTCTTCACAATTACAATCCACTGTTGGTGTTGAAAGTTAATAATTGTTGTTTAAGTTTTAATTTATCTAGCATATGTTTTGACTTCTAGTTGATGCTAAATTTCAACAAATCACCAAACTAAAATTATTTATTCTTTATTGCTAAACATTTGTACTGTTTGAATGTAGTGATTAAGCACTTTCTGCCATTGTTGGAGCTTTTTATTATTTTTCATGCAACGTGGAGTTTGTGCATTTTTAACTCTCTTGATATGAAAGGATTGTCGATACATTAACTACATTTTTTTTTTTTTTTTTTTACTAAATAGGTCACAATAAAGTGAATGTTTTCATGCAAATGATGTCATCAAATGGTTTAATCATGATAAATTTACCTTTATTTGTACTGATTTAATTCAGAACTATTCATGTTAAACGCTTCATATAGCTGCTTTATGTGTTAGATATTTTGTCTTTGTTTCATGTTATAATAATTACCATCTCCTTGATATCTGGTAACAGTAGTAAAAGCCACATTTTCCAAAAATATATATTCAGAAGAGAAAAAAAATGTTTTAGGTGTCTCCTGGAAGACTTAGCACTGTCATTGTTAATGTGATAAATGTTTATTGCCAATACTGTATTAGATTTTATTTTGTTAAAATTTTATATCAAAACTGTTTAAAGGATTAGGCAACTCTGCCAAGAAAAAATATAAGCCCAATTCTGAAATTTTTCATAGCAAGGTAGTTTAAATTAGCATTCTGTCAACAAATAAAGAACTGAAAAAAAATTTCTTTTTCATGTTGATACATCACAGAATAGGCAAACTCCGAAGCTTGCAACCAACTAAATATTTTTATTTTAAATTTATTTCCAGTAAACCAATTAATCAAATGTAATGTAGTGCCAAGGTAATTTCAGTTGATGTGACTATGTTGTATTGATATTGAAATATACCCTAAAAGCATGTACGTTCTTTTTTTATTTTTTTAATTTACCAATTTTTGCATTTTTTTAAAGTATTTTTTAATTGATTTCAGTTGGTATGAGCAGGTATAAATATGGGCATATGTTTCAAAAGTACAAAAGGATTTTTTTTTTTTATTCATAAATTTTTGCATTTTTAATTTATGCGTTTTGCTTTCCTTAATTCCTAAACTTAATGGCTAGAAATTCGCTTATAACTAAAAAAAAAAACTATGCACCAAAATTAAATAATCCTTCTTATGTCTGAAAATAATGCAATTTTTAATGTATGTTTAAAATTTGCTGTCAGTTGGTGAGAATTTGTACCAGTTATGAGTTTGGTCAATTTGAAATATGTAACTTCCGAAAAGTTTCTTAGGTGAATGCAGTTAACTGTCAGAAACTGCACAAAAATGCAGGTATCTAAATATTTTTACTTCTCATAAAACTTTGAGTGTATTATTTCATTGTATTATGGCACACTTTTTAAGCAAAAAAAGAATTTTCCTAAAATCTAGAGTTGCCTAACCCTGGAAAATATTTCTCCGATTTAGAGATCACTTTAAAGTGTTCTATCAGTACTTGTCAAGTGATCAATTCTACCATCATTTGGAGCAGCTATTTCTTTCTGTGGAAATATTATTGTCGCACTTTGAAAAATATATTTAATTCAGAATTAATTGTAGAAAGCAGGCGCATTGGGTTATGGTATGTGTATTTATCAATGCGTAATATATAGAGCATGATTAGTTAATATTTAATTTTAGTTTTCACATACAAGTATGCATACTAAAGTTTTCTGCATCTTATTTGTTATATGTTTTTATGCTTAATCTATCAATTAATTACTTTTTATTAATGAATAAACTAACAACATTTTTTTGTATAATGTAATCTATAAAATTTTATTTAAAGTAACATGTTTTGCAATTTTTGTTTTAAATACACTAAATCATATTCTCCTTTCACTTGTAAAGTATTTTTAGTATGTTTTTCAAGTGTTAAGTATTATTTTAATATCTAAACTACCATGCTTCATATTTTATAGTTCTTTGAATCATATTTATCAAGTCTTGCTTATTTTTTTTAACATTTTTTATTTATTATTATCTACGTATACAGTGGAACACACTAAAGTTTTACGTTGTCTATTCCACGCATTATTCGGCCTCCTGTGTCATTTTCTGCTGGTTCATGAAAATTGCCCATGCCAATAGTGGTAAATTGCTAAATTATTAAAACGTTAACCCTTTTTAAGAAAATTGTGCTACATACCTTATCACACAGACTTTTTCTGATGTTTTATTATTTTCTTATTGTCCTTTTTTCTCTGAGAGGGGATTTCCTCTTTCAATTGAAATCAGAAGTATGATGGGCATAGCACGGGAAGAGACGTTAAAGGAAGTGTGGGAGCTTAATTTGTGAATGAAATTTATCCCAGCAAACTTCATTCTTGGAACTATCCAATCATTTGTAGAAAGTTACACTAGACAACTGGTTTGGCAATCATTTCTTGTTTTTATTTTAGTTTGGTAACCCGCAAGTTGCTTCTAAAGCAAAGATAAATGTTCTGGAAACTCTGAATTTGATTTTTACATAGTTGGACAGTGTCCACTTAAGTGTATTAATATGGGTTTAATGAAACACTTTGTGCTTCTCAATATCCAACGGGAACATTTGTCCTTTGGAAAAAAATCGTGTGACTTAAGTTTCTCACGATTTACTTTAGTAGTTCATCTTGTAAGTGAAAATTTTTGAAAAATATAATTATATTTTCTCCTTGATTTTACGTTATCCCATTTTATGCATTTTTTTTTAATGTTAGTCTGATGAAAAACGTAAAATCATGGTTTCACTGTATTATGCAGTAAATCTTTAAGTTCATGAATGCATCACAATAATTGGTTAGTTAAATATCTAAACTTTCTGATGCATGTTGTATTAAATATAATCAACTTTTCTTAAGAACTACTGTTTAAGGTGAATAAACATGAAAAATTTATTCGTTTTTTTATGCACATACAAAAACAAATGTCTGTTTTAAAATATAATACTAGGTTTCAATATATGCATATAAAAAAAACTTTTTTTTTATCCATAAATATAAAATATCTTTCTCTAAATTTCATGTTCTGTCATATTATGCAGCTAATATGTTTTATTTTCTATGGGGTAAAAAGCTGTTATTGTAAGTTGACTAATAATTATTTAAATTTTTTGCATACGCTTTGTAGTCTCAAAAGTATTTTCGAAAAATAAATTACTAATCATTTTAGTAATTAGCAAATATTAGTCAATGAACAAGTTCAAATCAGTGAAGTGAAATAAAGAAATATATTTTTATTTAAACTAATGTTGTTGCCTTTTTTCTTTATTACCAATATTATTTTTGCAGTGAATTTTTCTGCAATCGAGTCGTTATAATTTTTTCTTGTTATGTTAACTATGCAACTACACATCTTGAGAAAGTCATTTTATATCTTAAAAAAAAAAAAAAGACTAGTCAAAGTAATTAAAACTTTCAAACTAATATATTTGGAGAAAGTGATAAATGTGTGGACTATACGGATTGAAAAATAAATTTAATAACTCGCAGAATTATGAAATTGTCTAACAAATTTTAGAAATTTTTTAAGTTTAATCATTTAGTAGCACCAAAACACTTTTACAGATTTTATTTTGGTTTAAAGTTAGCTTTAAATTTGGTTTGAACATCAAATAACTGGTTTCCTGGCATCTGTTGAAAAATTAAACTTTTTACTCTTATTTTAACTTAAAGTTATTCAAATAAAAGAACTTACATATTTTAAACATATATTTTTTTTTTTATTTTATAAAAAAATATATCTAAGAAGTTTAGTATTTTCTGAATGTTAATTCTTCCACAGAGCTCTTCATTTATAAATAACTTAAACTTTTAGTTTACTAAAAAAAACAATGAAAAAATATTTTTTGATCATTTTTATCTTTATTCATTTCTTAGATGAGATCAAATATATGGGGAAATGGTGAAAAATTTGCCAATGAAATTTATTAGCCTATCATAAAACAATCATAAGTAACAAATTAAATTTTCGCTTAGCATATATATTCTCATTATAAATCTAAAGAGTTTCATTTTTTAAGGGATACAAAATTAGAAGATAAATTTGTATTTTTGTCGAAGACTATTTATTAACCAAACATGGCCGATGAAATGGAGAAAAAGAGCATTTATGTAATATTCAGTTTGATGTATGTATATATCACCTCATTAATTTTAATGCTGTTTTGCATGAAAGACAAAATACAATATTTTAATGCAGTACTGTGGCAGGCTTTGTTAGTTAACCCGCTTCCATTCATTTCTGTACCAAACGTCATATTAGGGTGCAAAAAATATTTTTTTACCGCATAGTTAAAAAACAATTTTTTTTTTTTTCTGTCCCTGAATCATTTTATGCAAAATCAGTTATACAATTGGATCCAAAATTTTTGTATAAACTAACCAATAAAATGCCTAGAGTTTGTGCATTAATTGATTCTAAAGGGGGTTATTTTAATCTAAATTTTGTAATAAAATATTTCTTTGCTTGAGGATAATATTATATTTGGGTAAGAGTTAATTGTGTTATATGGGAACTTAATGTGCATCTGGGTAATACTATGAGTGCATTGAAATTAATTAATGGTGATAGTGGATTTTTAATTTTTCTAATATTTGGTAGTTTTCTAAACATGTTTAAAAATAAAATATATATAATTTCATAAAAATGTTTAAAATAAAAAAATAATTTAATGTAATGACTTGCAGTTTGGACATTATACATAATTGCTTTTTTTATGAGTTATTGTGAAAGTGTTGTATCCGGATTCTCTTACCTTGTTTTTATCTTCATTTTACTATTCTTAATGTGATTTTATTGAGATGCTATTTCCTTAAAAATACTTTACATTGCAAAAGTGTATTTGATACAGTGTATTGTAAATTATATATATTTTTTTCGGAAATCCTATGTGTACTGACATGGAAAGGAAAATGCTTTTAAGCTTTCATTTATTTGATCAAACTAAATTTTGACATGTTAGAGAATTAATTTGAAATGAAAATATTTTATTCATTGTTATTACAAATTTTGTACTTTTTTTCACGTAAAATAACTAATGCGGTATGATGCAGTTGGAGTGAGAGGAAATACTAATGTAAATTTATATTCAAAAAAATTTATATAGCCTTAAAACCCGGTGAAGATAATTTTTATTTTATATATTTTTCTTGACTCTCAACTTTTATTCTAAAATTACAATTGAATTAATTTAGTTTTACAGATCTCTGTAAAAATATATCTAATGATTGCTTCATTTTTTCCCCCTTAACTGAAATTTGAGCTAATTTATTTTCACAAAAATTATGTTATGGCATTTTTAATAAGCTGCCAAATTTTGTTAAGGGTGTTATGTCTAGAATATTATTAAGCTTTTCAGCAGGATGCTAAGAGTGTTATATAAATAAAATCCAGCAAAAATTAAGTTTATTATATTATATATTATTTTATATTTATTAGTATTAATATTATTTTATAGAAGTTATTTGTAATTTTCAACTGTTACCCTACTTATGTTCTCTATAAGAGGTTAAGAGAATGTGCTCTTTTTTCCCCTCGTTTGCTTCTTTCTATGGTAAAGAAATAAAAGACCCCGAGTTATTGAAAGTTGTCTTTGTTGCAATTAATTATTGAACTAGGCATTTTTTAACCTAAATTTATTTGAAGTGAACCAACTTGTCACGATATTTTCGAACCCCAATTATTTCAGTCAATAATTTAAGAAAGTGTCATTGCATTATTGAAATGTGTATTTTTACTCCTACTTACAATCAGCTATTCATTCTATTTTATTGATAGAGGAGAAAAAAAGCTTCAATGTGGCGTAACTGCTTATCATTTTAGTCTTTCATGTTTAACAAAATAATATGTTGAAATGTGAGCAGCTTGTCTGTATATTTCTATTCATTAATTTTTTTTTATATATATTAGCTAAAATTTTCATCTGTAACATTATTGTTAACAAATTCTGTTAAAAATGTGGCTTGAATAAATGTATTTCTGATACTTTTTATACATTGCAAATTGTTCCTCAAATTTATATGGAGAGTAGGCTTCATTTTTTAACATTTGTATAGGTTGTTAAAATATACAGTTAGTAAAAAGAGTGCCAGTTACTTTGAAGATTCTTTGTTGATACAAAATGCTATCCTGAAAATTTTACAAGAAGATTATACGTCTCATGAGTAATTATCCCACTTTTAAACTACTATATTTTACAGTGTATAAGTCGACTTTTTGAACCCGTAAATTACGATTAGGGTCGACTTATATGCCTGTAATGCATTTCGAATCAAAAATTTTCTGGAAAATGTATTAAACAAAAAATTTTTTGTCTGTAAGATAAATACACACACACACAAAATGCTCTCAAATTAAAACTTATGAAAATGAAGTCATTTAGTAATGTTGGATTTGAAATGTCTCTCAAAGTCGATTGCAGACATTTTGCTTATACTGTCATCGTAATTGGTTATAAACCTATTTTTCAAGAAGTGCAAATTAAACGACTTATTCACAGTTTACATGCCAAATTCATTGTTTTTAAGTTATCAGGCTGGAAAAGGGTTTTTTTTTTTTAAATACAACAAAGAGGAAATCTGACATGTTAGAACTTTTGGGAAGAGGTGAGATTTTATAAACTTTAAGAAACTGATATTGGTGACTTGCCAAAATGACAAAAAAAAAAAAGACAATTTTCATGATCTGTTTGCCTGAAATTTACTTTTATGTCCCCAAAACTTTCATGCAAGATAGAAGCCTCTTTTTTTTTTCAAACCAGCTCGATTTCTTTTTTCATCAAAAATAATTTATTCTCATTTTTTGTTATGGAAATTTTTTAACCTATAATGATTCTGCATACATTCATTTTTCTCTTCACTCCAAATTGGAGAATAAGGCTTCAATCATGGCTTTCCATCTCACTCTATTTGTGGCCAGAATTTTTCAGGTTTACATTCTTGGCCAATCCATTTACGTTTTTTAATTTCCGGATCAATCTGTTTCTGTTTTGCTTTCCTAAGAATTTCTGCTTTAGGAATTTTATTTAACCACTTGATACGCAAGATTCTTTAACTGTTGTTAATAAATACTTGATAGAATGATTCTGATCTTTAAAAAAAAAAAAACTTTTTTAACCGAGTTCTATTTTTAAAAAATTAACTAAAACTTAAAATCAGTCAAAATACTTTGTAAATTTACATATACTTTGATGAATTGTGTATGATTACAATGATCTGGTTCATATTGAAATGAGCTGAAAGCAAAAATACTTCTTCTGTTTATAGATGCATAATTATCTTTTTATGCTGACAAAAGTTACTGTGGTTCACGTCAAAATTGGATGCATCCAAAATACTTTTCTGGGATTGCAATAAAATTTGAAATTTTGATAACAAAATAAGTTGTCTTGATATGAACTCTCGTCAGAATTTTTTTTCACCATTTTCTAAAAAAAATTTCGAAAATGGATTGAGCTGGTTTTAAAACCTAAAAACTAATTTTAAACAATCTGCTTTTTACTTTATTATAAGCTGCCCTTGTTTTGTGTGTGTGTATCCCCCCCCCCAAATGTCAAAAAAATTTAAAATATGGAGAAAGATTTTAACTTTTTTTTTTTTTTACTAATTGTATCAGATTTAAATGTTTTAAGTTTTTTCTCAGGGTTGAACTGTATTGTATTTGTTCGTTTTATAAGAAGCAAATTGTTTCTTATTCAAATTGTCATTGTTGAAGTATATTCAGTTTTAACTTTTGCATAGAACATGTATAGTATAACTGAATGTTGTATGATGTGTTTTGTTGAAGTGAAAAAAAAATATTTATTTGCTTTAAATGCCTAACAATGAATTTTGAATGTGAGCTAATGGTTTTAAGCAGGTAGCATGTTTTCTTCTCTGTAAAGTTGTGGTTAATTTATTTTTGACTCTTTCTTAATAAAATTTTAAAAAAAGATAACATTTATGTTTTTTTTTTTTTTTTTTTTTTTTTTTTTTTTTAAGTGTTTATATTGGGTTAGTAAGCGAAATTTCCACAGTTTATTTATTTTATTTTTTTTAAATTGTTGAAATAGTTGCTGTAGCACTTTTTTATTTTGCACTACAGCTGCAAAATGGGCTATTTTATTATTCTGTTTTATAACTGGCGTTGAACAATCGACCCAATTCTGAGTTTACGGCTATGGGTATTCATTTCCGTAACCTTGTAATTTTGGACCCAACCTAGAAGACAATGAATATCCTGTATCAAGCATTAGGACAAACTTCCCTTTGTGAAGGACTTTTTGATGGAACTAAACTGTATTTGCAGTGCATGGAGAGGAACATCTCCCACGGTTAACCAGATGGCGAAAATATTGTAACCAGCACAATGGGCTATTGGCGACAGTTTGCGAAAAATCCTTGAAGATGAAGCTCTAATGGCATGCCATCACAATTTTGGTTCTCTTCTAGAGGAGCCCCTCTTTGTTAGCTAAGTCGAGAACTTTCGGTAGAACAATTGAACAGAACGAGAACCGATACTGCGCAACCTTGGTCCTTCTGCAGGCTGTTTTGAAGGTAATCACCCATCCATTCAACCGCAGTCTGTGATCTACGACTTGACATCTCTGATCTATGGTCAATAAGCAGGTGGGTATCACTTTGATCAGCCTGTTCCTCGTTTGACAGCAATTTTCTTGCAAAAGTTGGTCTTATCGCTTTTCATCGAACTCAATTGGACGACTAGAACTTTGAGGATAAAATTTCCATTTTTAAATTTGGCATACCAATCATGAGCCTTTCTTTAGCCATGGCACCCTCAACATGCACAGCGGAAATGTCTGGAGCAGTTTTTATGGTCATACGTCGAACCTTGATCAAAATAAAAAAGAGGGATATGTTGAAAATGCTCATTTTTCTCAACTTGACGTTCCATTTAAAGGAACTTAAAATTAACACTGAAAAAAAAATTCTCTTTAGAATGATCTCATTTAGAAAACATGCTGGAAACCTTTATTGACATATGGAATGTTGAAATTTTAAAAGAACATGAGGAAATCAATCTCCAACCTAAAATTTTGGTATACATTAGCTCCTGTATAACCAAAAACTGTCACTGCAATTATTTCCCTTTATCCTATAGCAATTTAAAGACCAAAAAGAACATTCATGCAACATTTAAGTCACACCTATGGCGTCAACACCAATTTAAACCAATACGTTCTGAGGATATTATATATTTTCACCTTTCTGCTGCTGTTGTTGTTGTGCATTTACGTCGCTCTAGAGCTGCACAATGGGCTATTGGCGACGGTCTGGGAAACATCCTTGAGGATGATCCGAAGGCATGCCATCACAATTTTGATCCACTGCAGAGGGGATGTCACCCCCGTTTCAGTAGCCCAACGGCCGGCACGTGAAGTCGAGCATTTTACGGTAGAACAGTTTAACGAGGACCAATACCACACACCCTCGGTCCCTACGCAGACTGACCAAGTGGTCACCCACCCGCACACTGACCGCAGCCATTGTTGCTTGACTTCGGCGATCTGCTGGAAACCGTCTTAACGATCAGTTCACTGCGGGACTCACATGTGTGAATAGAACAGTTACGATATCAAAAAATAGATATTTTAGTCGTAACCTCCCAGAATTCATCAATCGATGTCTGCCAGAAACATATCTGCAACTTAACAGTGTTTTTCGTGGTTCCTTCAAATCTCCTGGTTTCTATTTGGACGTTTCCAAAAAAAAAGTTTCTGCCCTCATAGAAAGGTAGTTTTGTGAGATTGTTATGACTTTGTTTTTTAATTTCTAATATGTGTTACATTAAAAAGGAAAAAATTTCAAGTAGAATTCAAAATCTCAAGAAAAATGTGTGTGTTTTTCCCTCAAGACACAATCGCTGATTTTTTATTTTGAACTTACACATTTCTTATTTGTTTTGTTTGACAGTTGACTTAAGTGCTACTACTACAGTCTTAAGTCAGTGAAACTTTCAAAGTCAAGCAGCTACTCCAATTCATCGCCGATATCTCACATGGTGTAAATACGTTGTCCGAGCTTGTAAACCGCATTTTATCTTGAAACCGGCAGGAACATTGAAAGCTCGATTCTGAAAAATTCAAAAACTTCCAAGCCATTTGAAAATTTACCATTTTACCTGTCTAGTTATTATTTTTTTTTTTTTTTTTGGTTTTGGTTTTGTTAGAAAATCTTAGCCAGGAATTTCTGTTCTCAGAAAATAAAATTGGTAAAGTAAAGCAGTGAGATTTCGAACATCCCTTTAGGATCTTTACCGCGTTATTTAAATTTTTCCTGGTTGTTGTCATAAAGCCTTTAAAATCAATATTAAATACTATATTAAGTACTTTCGTTGTAGTCAAAAAAGCTAATTTTTAAATTACTGACTTATTACTTGTTAGATATTTATTTTAATGTGGAAATATTTGAATAAAGCTGGTGATTTCCTCTGGCATTTAAGCCAATTCAGATAGAACTCTAATTGCACATGGCTATAAGTGTCGGTTTGAAAATGATTCTATTTTTCTAACTAGAATTAAGTGAAGACTAATCTATATTTAAGCTAGTTTAGTACAGTCATTGTTCTGTTTTTCGATTCGATTGATTTTTATCGCCGCCATCATTAACTTGTCAATTGAAGCTTTCAAAAGTATGAATATATTATTTACAACAGTCAGGTAATAAAATCATGAATTAACGTCAGATCTGCTATTGTTCCATTAATGCACGTGTAAAGTGTCTGATTGTCTTGCGTCAAACAGACAGATTACCTAATTGTCTTGAAAATGAAATTCGGGACTTCATTTGGATTAGAAAATTATTTTTATAACATAAGATTTGATTTTTACCATCTATTATGGATTAAAAACGGACAATTCAAGGCCATTTTTTTTTATCTTAATTATTTTGGGGCTAATGAATTAAAGCTATTTTTACCGAAACACAACGAATGAAGCGAATAGAAGATTTAAAAGAAATAAACAAAAATCAACAATTTTTGGAAATTATAACTTTTAACTAGACCTGAAAATAAGCAGTCTCCATTCGCTACGTGGTGACAGAACAAAACAAAAAATCCCGTCTTGAATTTAATCACTCGGTTCAACTCTCTTATTTTTGTAAAAAATCGTATAATGATAAAAATACGTTAATGCAGAAAGACTGAAAAGCAGAATTTTCATTAAAATGTCCAGTGTTTCCATTTTAATTTTTTATCCTTCTGAATTAATTTGTGATGGAAAGATTTACGTAGAAGGTAAATTCTTTAACAAATCTCATACTTCAAAGTTGTAACGTATATATTAACTGTGTGTAAATGCCAGTCAAATTTTGTCAAAGTAATTATATTTTTTTTGTTGAATTATGATGATGTATTATCTAATATGAATTTATTTAAAAATATACATATAATTTAATCCAAGCAAAAAAGTTTGCAAAAATTAACTATTTTATTTTATTTTATAACCGTTGTTGAACAGCTGACCTAATTTTTAGTTTACGACTACCAATGACCAGTGAGGATATATTGCGTCAGCACTCTGGACGGTACGAGCCGGGTGCAGAATTCGTATCAACCAGCCATTGCTGGGTTTCGAACCCCGTTCACCTCATCGGAAGATGAACGCTCTATCCCCTGAGCCACCACTGCTCTTTTTATGCCCCTTATATCTGCAAGCCTGCTTGAAATCAAGGGAATTTTTAAGGTAGAGGGTGCGTTTCCAGTTTTTCATTGGCACGATCTATAGTTATTATCTCAGTTATTGATCTCAGTTATTATCGGTATTGATTTTTATATTTAAAAAAAATATTTATTTTTAAACATTTTTGCCACATCAGACTTTAAATGAATACGATGCTGTTTACGCTGTCAACGAATTCTACTGTGAATTTAATTTTTCTATGACATCATAAAAAGATCTTACTAGGAAGGTAGAAGGAATGTAACTCACAAATCGGGTTTTGTTTCACAGATAGCTTATTTGGCAAAATTTCTGTGATTTACGCTTTCTTCTTTGACCAAAACTTACATTTTCAACAATTTATGTTTCTGTAATTAATGCAAAGTAGACAAAATGTTTTAAACATATCATTTCTTTAAAAAAAATTTTTATAAAAGATCAGCTTGAATAAGACGGGGAGAAAATACACTTCGGACACATTCCTTGTTCATCCATAATGCCTTAGAATTGGAACATCGGCTCTCAGATGGTGTTCCAAAGAACCCTAGGGTTCTGTGGAAGAGATAAAAGGGTTCCGAGAGTCATGATTTTTTACTAGTTTTTTTTTTAACATTTTAGAAATCTGTACTTATATTTAAATCCAATAAATTATCCATTATTTACTTATTATTTCAAATAAAATATTGTAAAATATAAATATAAAAATTTCATTATAATGAATCGTTGTAATAATCTAGGAATGCAAAAGAAAGAGAAATGAAAATTTTAAAAAAAATAAGAATCATTATTTTTTTTAGTGAAGAAATATGAAAAGCACAGATCTCTAGATAAAAAGTTATTCGAGATGGTCTATTTATTATTTTTTTAATGTACTGTATGCGTCAAAATAATGTTCATCATATTTTCCCATTTTATATTAATGCAGGAAAATGTCTTAAATGACGAATCCTTTCGAAACAAAAATTAAGAAAAAAAAAATGTATCGTGAAATTTAACTGAGATGTTTCCTTTAAAAGCAAAATATATCCTATTGTACCTATTATCGCATTGACATTTTAAACAGGAGATTAATTCTACAATTATTTTTTTACTGTTTAAAAAATTGTTCAATGACAGTAGCATAGCTCATTATTATGATTAAAATGTCAGTCAAACCGGAGTTGAAAATCTACACCTGCAACGTGGGAATCCATGCATTCGTGTTCTGTTTTCCTTCAGAGATAATTTTCTTCTCTTTATTTTATCTGATTAAAACCTTTAATCAGTTCAGGAAATCAGAACGAACAAATTATTCAATACAAAGAGACAGATGAAGTTTAGGTTAAATGAAATATTTATTTTTAAGACCAGAATTGATAAATAAAATATTCCACTTTTAACTTCATTTCTTTACTTTTTAAAATAAAAATATTTTAATCAATTCTAATTAGTTTTTATAATAAAAATTTGCTTTAAATTTTGGTTATTTACTACTTTTTATTTATTATTATTATTTATTACTTTATTCTATCAGATTAAATCCTTTGTTCAGTTCAGGAAATCGGAACGAACAAATTATTCAATACAAAGAGACATATGAAGTTTCGGTTAAATAAAATATTTATTATATTTTTAAGACCCGAATTGATAAATAAAATATATCACTTTTGACTTCATTTCTTTACTTTTTAAAATAAAAATATTTTAATCAATTCTAATTAGTTTTTATAACAAGAATTTGCTTTAAATGTTGGTTATACTTATCAATTGTTTAATATTAGTTATAATAATTAAATATTGGATATTAAATATTAATTTCAATAACAATTAAGCTTCAATCTTTGACGATTTTTTTGTGAAACGATAGGTCAAATCTATTAAAATAGAATAAAACATTTTCCAAGTTTTGTCACAATTCCAAAAATTATTTTTTAAAGAGCGATAAAGATTACTGCTGTGTATTATTTTATTGATGATAATTATAAATAATTTTTTTAAAAAAATTAAAAAATGAATGTTGCGATAGAGTTAATATACAGGGTGTTTCGTAATGGCCCCCCTTAATAAATATTTTTAGAATTCTTGTCAAGAATGAAATAGAAAAAGCAAGCACAGGGTCAAGAATTAACATTTAAACATGAAAAATCAAAAAAAGTAACGGAATCTAATGAATCACCACTGAGTAAGGTGAGACTGAAAACATCAAATCCCTTGTTCAATTGTCAAAAGAAAGAGAGAGAGTTGTTAAAAGGCGGCTATTAAGAAAAACTACAAGCTTCATCAGGCAATCAAACTGGTTTTAAGGTTTTATCTATACGACTTCATTACTAGTGAAGTGATTCGATAAATTTCGATAGCGTTTGTTCTTAATCCTTTTAATATCAATTTACTCCCCCTAATTTGCATGTTTGTTTTTTTTTAACTTACTTTTTGACGAGGTAAAAAATATGTATATTTAAAAATAAATGTTAAATGGGGCAGATTGGGGAGCACTCGCTAAAATATTCAGGAAAAAAAGCCAATTTTAAATTACATGATCCGTAAAAATAATATTTAATGTAAAATTTATTTCGATAGGAAAATTTTCTAGTTATTTCACGTTATCATCAAACGGTATCATGATTTATAAACATGATGTTCCGTAACAACAGCCTTTAATGTATATTTTTTGTAACTTTGTAAAAAATGAAACCATAAAGCAGTTGCGCATCATGTGTCGTAAATTTATACTTCAGGGAGAAAGAAAGAAAAAAACGTTTCTACCGGTTTTTCTTGTTTTCCTAAATAATTTTTTCATAAAGACTTTATATGCTTAGATCTTAAAATTGTAAAATATTCAACCCTCTTCTTTGCTTACTTTAAAAGCAATAACAAAATTTAAAGATGAGTTATCTAAATTTATATTTCATAACGACAATATTGATGAATGTCTTAAAAGTGTAAAATCTAGCATTAAAATTTTGTCACATTTTTCAACACATTTCATATCATTTTTTTGTTATATTTTTCTATTTTGTTATATTTTGCAAACTCACTTTGCTGCCTATTTTTTTTTTTTTTCAATCTATCCCTGGAAAAAGATGTAAGAGAATCTCAAACACCAGCAGAATCAAGTTTAGTCAATGTCAAAGTTAAATGACATTTATGTCAATTAAAAAGATAGCTTAAAGGCCTACCTGGCAAATCGGCCTCGCCTCTTTATCAAATGATCTGTAGGTTGGACGTAGCGAGTTCGTATCCCGCCGCTGCCAAGGATGTATCATTGTGATGTCCTTATCTAACTTGTGCTGTCTGTTCTTCAACTTGATATGGATAAGTGATAAACTGTACTTCGAAATGTAAGTGCAATGATAAATAAATAAATAAAATTAACTTTTTTAAATTAATTCTACTGATCTGAATCCGAATGGTCACCCCCTCTGTCGAGGATAAAAATTGTGATGGCTTGTTTTCGGATCATCCTCAGTCCTCAGGGATGTTTCCCAGACCGTTGCCAATAGCCCATTGTGCAACTCTAGTGCGATGTAAATAAAGTACCTACTCACCTACCTGAATTCGATCGAACATCTTTGGCAGCATCTAGAGCAAGAAGTAAGAAATAACCACATTACGGGTAGAAGGTAGAAATTCTTTAAAATCTGCATAAATTTGTTCCTGGAATAATATATTACCAGATGTCACCAAAAAGTTAGTGGAGTCAGTCATTAAGGCCAATGGACTGCATATAAGTTATTAAAAAGCAAATCACCGACAATGCAAAATTTTATTATTTATGTTATTAACTGTGCTAATACTATTTTTGCAAAAAAACGTTAAAGTTTTTTGTTTCAAATTATGTTAAGGCAAGTGTGCTTTTTATTTCCATTTACTTTTACTATGATGATTGTTCTAGTTCACTTACGTTACTCAAGAGCTGCACAATGGGATATAGGCGACTGTCTGGGAAACATCACGGAGGATGATCCGAAGACCTGCCATCACAATTTTGATCTTCTGCAGAGGGGATGACATCTTCGCATCGGCAGCCCGACGACCTGCGCGTGAAGTCGAGCACTTTACGGTAGAACAGTTTAACGGGGACCAATACCGCACACCATCGGACCCTTCGCAGACTGATCCATGTGGTAACACACTGGCTGCATGTCAGTGAAGTTTAACTTCAATGATCTGCTGGGAACCGTGTCTTAACGATCAGTCTACTGCTGGACTTACTATGAATAAGATAAATAAAATCATAGTTCGGATTAGAGGTTGGTTGATTTGTCTTGTAAGAATATCAAATTAGCTTAGTGTGCCAATACTTTTTTTGTCAACTGATGTTGTTTATTCTTCAAATTTACACGAGTTTCTAAACCGTTTTTGTATTGAGCACACAAGCCTGCATATGTATGTGTAACAATAAATAAGTAAAAAAAAGCAATCGGGACTTCCTGACTGAGAGGTATCGCTCTCCAAATGCTCTGCAAAGCATGGAGGTAATGAGTTCGAACCCCGCCGTTACGCTGAATGTATCTTCACTTTGTCCTTCATTGTAATGTGCTATCTGTCCTTCTATTTGGCAAAGGTTTATCCTTTATTAAGGACGCAAGCATGCAAATTTGTCAATAAAAATAAATGAAAAAGAATATAAAAAAATTAATAAATAAAGTATTAAAGAGATTTACGTTGGTACACTTGACATCAAAATTTTTGAAGTTTTCGAACCCTAAACCATTAAGCTTCAATTTAAAGATTAAAAAGTAAGCAAAATTTTGCTCTTAATGAAAAGAGTAAGTCCTCATAGATATCCAAACGATGACATAAAATACGCAACCGCCAGCGCATTTTATTTTTTATGTATTCAATTAGGATGAAAGTGAAATTTTACTCTCCGAGTGTGATGTTGTGCAGACTGTTTTTAAAGCCTATCCACATTCTATAATTTCCGCTGTTTTTTTAATGGAATATTTTTCTAAAAGGAAGCTGTATACCTGTTTTTTGACGTCACTGAAACTGCGGTCCCGCCTTAAAGCGCGAGTATATGTATTCTCGGCTATTTACAGAGCGCCGTTATCCGATTACATTGACACATACAAAATAAAAAACTGATTTCCTCCATCGTCCTTATCGCGAGTAGAATTGCTTTTTAACACTTCATCAAAACATCATTCTATTTTTCCTCTCTGTATTCTTTACACTAATCACTTTGCCTTGAATAAAAAATTGTCGTTTGAATAAAATTTCATTTTGCCTTTTCAATGTAAGTTCATTCAATCCTTTAAATTAAATTTCCTGACGATATTCACTCCTCTTGAGATAAAGTTTCGCAGACGATTTCCATCGTTTAAATGGAATTTTACTCATCTTTTATTTTTGTTATTTATATAAATTTTAAAATTTATTTATGATGTTCCGTCATTGAAGCAGATTTCCATTGACTTAACTAAAACAGTTCCGCATACTCAAAAAATTATGGTGATGTGTTTTATAAAAAGTTTTCAAACGATATTTAAAATAAATTGTGTTCTTTCAGAAAATTAAATTCATACGTGGCAACATCAACTACTTGATAGGAAATCAAACCAATTTTTATTAACTTCCATGCGCGAACGTACCGAATTCTATTTTCTTCTGTGAAAAACATGGACAGATTCCAAATATTCTCTGATACAAAGAAAAATAAAACGGAATAGTGCTGATCTTTTGAAGTGAAAATGTGTGCATGTTGGATTAATAAGTGTTAAGAGGAGCAATTTCTCGTAAAAGAGTGTTTTCTAACGATTATTTTGTTTGCCTTATATTTATGGATATATTTCTACTTACTGTGAGAAAACACTAATTCTGTGAAATAAACTCGTTTTGTTGAAATTTTAAATGACCGCCTCGAATAATACGGAAATGGAAGCGGCATTTGGAGCTGTAAAATTAACTGACTTTCCTCCCATTCAGTACAGCAGCTTTTTTGTTCCATGCATGCTAGAAGAGGTAAGTTAATTTTTTTATTTTTAAATAATTTGTTCATTTTTACTCTGAAATATTGAATAAATTTTGAATTTGAAATATTATGTTCATTTTTACTCTAAAATATTAAATTTTATTTTTAAATATTAGATTGATTTTTACTTCGAAATACTAAATTCATTGTTACATCTAAATATTAAACTGTTACATCTAAAATATCAAATTCATTGTAACATCTGAAATATCAAATTTATTGTAACATCTAAAATATCAAATTTATTGTAACATCTAAAATATCAAATTCATTGTAACATCTAAAATATCAAATTCATTGAAACATCTAAAATATCAAATTCATTGTAAGATCTAAAATATCAAATTCATTGTAACCTCTAAATTATTAAATTCATTGTAATATCAATAATATTTAATTCAATGGTACATTTAAATATTAAAGTCATTGTTACATCTAAATATTAAAGTCATTGTTACATCTAAATAAATTCTTTATTACATCTAAATAATAAATTCCTTATTACATCTAAATAATAAATTTACATCTAAGTAATAAATTCCTTNAATAAATTTACATTTAAATAATAAATTTACATTTAAATAATAAATTTACATTTAAGTAATAAATTTGCATTTAAATAATAGATTTACATTTAAATAATAGATTTACATTTAAATAATAGATTTACATTTAAATAATAAATTAACATTCAAATAATAAATTTACGTCTAAATTATAAATTTACGTCTAAATAATAAATTTACATATAAATAATAAATTCAGTGTTACATCTAAATAATAAGTTCATTTTTGTTTCGAACTATGTTAAATTCAAAAAAAAAAAATTTTAAGAGTCATTTCGTTCTAAAACAAGAGTATTTTTTGATAATTTTGTAAAAAAAAAAGTGTGTGTTTAAAGTCTGAATAATATTTCGATTCGAAATTAAAAGGACTCACTATATATTTGTAAAATGAATCTGATAGAACAATATCATAAGTAAAAATTCTGTAAGTTATTAACTTGAAATAATTTCATAAACCGTGTATTGTTTGAATATAAAAAATCACATGATGTCTTTAAATAAATTTAAATATGAAAATAATAACTTATTTTGAAATATTTTTTTATAAATTAGGTAAGAGAATGACTAAACCGTTTTTACATGTTACAATATTATTGAAAAAAAATATTACATTTGTTGACTTAATAAATTTGTTAACTTATAAAGAAACTTACTACCCATTTTTCATGAAAAACGCTGACACATCATGAAATTGAAAAATCGTTTTAAAAGAAAATCTGCTTAATTTTAAGTAACATTTTTTCTAACATGTTATATCTGATGACTAAATAAAATTTAAAAAACGCTTGAAATTTACTCAAAATAACGTTTAATGGTTTTATATGTTTGATGTATTAGCAAATTGTAGGGATTTTTATAGCAAAATTTTTTCTGATCCGAACTGGCCCATCGAAGCATCCCGATTTCGGTTTTTTCTGGTACTTCTAATTCGCTACTTTGTTAATAAGATCATTATTGTTCTGATCTGAAATAAACCACGTCAATACATTATAGTTTTGAGATAAGTTAACCTAGTTGAATCCTATAATTTAAGATAAATTAGTTTGAGGACTTGATTCACTCTTTTTATAACGACTTGGTTCACCATAGCTTTGAAAATATAGATCATTAATAAGTATCAATCCGCAACAATTTATTACATGCTTTTGATATTTTCATGGATGCCACTCTTTAGTCCTGATGACTGAATTCAGTCTTGTGAAAAGATCAGTGGACTGATTTTCTATCCTCCAATAAAAAATTTTTTTCAATTTGTTTTGTCTCATATAATCTAAAAATAAAAATTATATTAACTTTGAAGGTAATTTGAGACCGACAAAACAAATGTTATGGTAAAATATTCAAACATTAAATTTATTTTAAGATTAGCATATTTGATTCTATTCATCTCATTTCTAATTTTACTGAAAATATATTTTTTGAGCTGAATTGCTTTTTAATTTTATGAATAAGGTATTTCCTATTTCTACAGTTAAATCTTTTAAATGCAAGAATAGCACAGTTTCAAAATAAATACAGTAAAACTAAATTGTCTAAAATTTCTGAAGTTCATTATTTCTACGAAATTGTCATTTACTATAGTTTTAACAGATAACTATCTTTTTAATCGGCATCACTTATTATAGATATTATAAATATTAACTATTTCAACCCAGTTGAACTTACTTAGTTTAATCTCGTAAGATAAATAGTTTTCCATGTTCATTATGCCAAATAAAATATTATCTAGTAGTACAGGGTGTTCCGTATTAACTACCCTTAATATACAATTTTCGAATACTTGTCAAACATGAAATATAAAAAAGTGTGAGCATTGAAAGTCTCATATTAATATTTAAGTGGAAAAAAAAACAAAGTGCGATTGAAATTTAACGAATCATAACTGATAAAAGCGCGTTTGAAAATGCGTTTAAGACTATTTAATTGCCGAATGAAACAATGAAACTTGAAGGTGTTTCAATAATGATTGACTTTCAACTCTATTTTCTCCAAACAAAGTTTTATGTTTTTAATCCTTCCTTCCTCAGTAGTTATTTCTCCCCAGATTAATCACTAGTTATTTTTCACCAGATTTAAGTTGAAATTAATTGGCGACTCCTAACTTTTGGGTTTCCTCTTTTAACAGATATTCTAAAAATTTGTATTAAGTACTGTCACATTACAGAAAGGAAATTTACCAATACTATTCTATGAATTTTACTTTGGTAGACTATTCAACAATATCTTTTCAACGTTAAAGTGAGAATTGCAATTGACGTGATTAGTTAGCCAAGTTCTATTGCCTATATAAACGTCTAAGCCAAGAATAAGTTTAATGTCAATTTTTAAGCTATTCAGGAGGGAGGGGGCGTCCAATATCTGAAAACCGCTTTCAAGTTCAACTGCAATTTTTGTCTTCAGCAAGTCGCGCCGGAAAAATAAATTAGTGATCTCAAAATCGTTAAAAGGTTTGTATGTTTAGAAAGTTAAAGTTTCAAGAAAAAACCTAAATTCCACATAGCGTGCAGGAGACAGCTTAAGGATTTTGTATTTCAAGACTGTACAATATTTTAGAACCAGACATATTTTTATAATTTCTTTAATATTTTTCTTTTGCATGAAAAGCATTAGAATAGGAAAAAAAATTTAGTATCTTGAATAATTCTGTAATCCTTAAAATCCTTAATCCTAATCCTTTAATCCTTTAAAATCCCTTAAATCCTTTAAATCTCTTATTTCTTAAGTTACAAATTTTTTACCTTTTAGTTACTTAAAAAATTAAATCAACGCCTTACAATTTTAATATTGATAAATATTGTTTTAATATTTTTAATAATATATTTTTAACAATATATTTTTAAAACATGTATAAAATAATTTTAAAAAAATTAAAGGAAGTCGGTAAGGCATATATCAATAATGCTGAAACTGATCTTTTCAATGTACATTTTCTAAGAAACTACTTATGATATCGCTTTGAAATTTTTTGGCGATATTTGAGATAATATCAGCTGAATACTGTGATAATATTTTTGCATTAAAAAGAATACATTTTGAGACATGAAAGATTTTTGTTGAAAAATGATTAAACTTTTTAAAAAATTAGAAGCTCTCAGTTCATAATTTTTTTAAAAAAATTCTACCGAAGATATACATTGACAGTTATCATTATGTAAACATGCATTTTTCACAGAATGTATAATGTAGAAACTGAAGCAATATATTGTTCAGATAGTGTGAAAAAGTACATTGAAAAAGATAAATTTTAACATTATTGGTATATGCCCAACCGATTCCCCTAAGTTTTTTTTTTATCTTTCAGGAAATCGTGATTAGTTAACTATAAACTTACTTTTATATCAATCCTAAATACCTCATGTGTTAAATTTGAATTTTTTAAAAAATTAATCTAACTTTTTAGGTAACTGATTTATTACGGCATATTTGTTTGTCGTCCCTTTTAGTATTTAATGCAATGCGTTTGAAGTGTAAAAGTAGTTAACTTCGAATTCGATAAAAAGTTTAAATGCGCAATTAGTCACAGGTACTCTTTTCTTTCTCATTGTTTCGCAATGTTTGATAACTGCCTGTTAGTTCTTGTGAAATTCCTTTAAATTTTTTTTTCGTGAAAACTGACTTACCTAACCATATCGTATTTTCTAACTTAAATTTATTATTTTTTAAGACATAAATTCTCTGTTTAACGAATATTGTGCTCTTTTGTTGTGATTACATGCAAATGATTATTTGTAGATATATTATATAATATGTTTTTTGAAAACAAACTAGTTCTTCAAACAGGCTATAGCAGTTAAAGTCCTCGTAAGTTTGAACTTTATTTAGAACATAAGGAAATTGATGAATCGAATATGGGGGTTTACTTCCAAGAGGACTAAAAACGAGAAAATAGTAATTCTAATTTTTACAGACCTAAACGATAACTTAAGGTTCATTTTTCATTGCTGAAAGATCAGAGCTCGTTACGATATGGATGCGCCGTACATTTTCTGTTATAAATGTGATAAAATAGTTTTTACTCATTAGATCCTCTTGAAAACTGTAGTTTTTATTTATTTTTTGCTTTTATTATTTTTGTTTTGCATCAGTTAATGTAAAAAAGAGGTTGAAAGTTTGATAAAATGGCGATAAATTTCATGTACATTTAGAACCAAGGAGGGAGAACGGTTTTGTCTATTTCTTACAAAAATGACGATTAGGTCACCATCTGTAACATTTTGAGGATTACTAAGTTTTAACAAATAAATAACGTGAAAAATCTGTGTACTCCGAGAGTTATTACAAACTGAAGGTGGGGTGTACAAGTATTTCTGAAACAGACCCCCATTCATTTAGGTCCTTACTCCTTTCATGTCATCACGTTTCGCCAATTGGAAGTAGAGCTCTCGCTCTTTCTTTAGCTACCTTTCGTACGTACAATACGACGG